GGGGATCGAACTCTCCTACTGCCTGCTTGCAAGGCAGGTGCTTATGCCACTGAGCTAAATCCCCATCCCCGAGTCTGTCTTTTTGAGACATGGTCTCTCTGTGTAGTTCAGGCTGGCCTTGAACTCACTTTGTAGCCCTAGGCAGGCCTCCAACTTGAAGTAATCCTCCTGCCTCAGCCTCCCGAGTGTGCCACTACACTGGCTTAGTAAACTCTTGATGAACATCAGCTGGAATATACTTTTCTGGTTTTGAGTAATCTGTTTCTAGCACCCTGTCTTAGAGTTCAGTTGTGTTAAATAGATAGTAAGCTCTCTATATTTATGAATCCTACATGTGTAGATTCAACCAACTGGGGCTCAAAAATATTGGGCAAGGGAACCAGTAACATAGACTTTTAACTCCCTAAATGTAGTATAGCAATCATTTACAAAGCATTGACATTGCATTAAAATCTAGAGATGGTTTAAAGTAATATACAAGAGGGTGTGTGTATATGATATGCAGAGTATACTATGCTACGTTGTATAACAGATTTCAGCATTGGATTTCCATACCTTTACAGAGATCCTGGGACCATGGATGCTGAAGAACACTGTAATTTTAAAATATAAACCAGCATCAGTCCACTAACCCTGCTTTTAATGTCCAGTTTCCCCAACTCACTTTTTGGGTTTGTTTGTTTGTTTGTTTAATTGTGTGTGTGTGTGTGTGTGTGTGTGTGTGTGTGTGTGTGTGTGTGTTTGGTCTTTTTGAGACAGGGTCTCTCTATGCAGTTCAGGCTGGCCTTGAGCTCACTTTACAACCCAGGCTGGTCTCAAACTTAAAACAATTCTCCTGCCTCAGCGTCCTAAGGACTGGGATTATAAGCGTGAGCCACCATGCCCCACTCAGTTTTTGGTTCTTTTGATGCAGTAGTTTGTGTTCTACAATTTGGGTTAAGGCACATCGTAATGCTTTGTTAATTTGCTGTTTGGAAGAACGCAATACTGAGGATAGAACCCAGGGCCCTATCTGCCGAGCAAGCTCTCTACCACTGACCCATATATCCAGTCTCTGCTTTGTTAATTTGTGATGCCTTATAAAAATCACTGACTTCATTTTTCTCTGAATCACAATTTCTTTAGATTATTGGCAACAACATATATGTAGCTGGATTTTGCTTTCTGGGGGTCCACATTTCTCAAAGGATGATACTAAAGTCCAGTGCAGTCATATAGTATAAATATAAATACCGCAAGAGGCAGGGAGAAGCCAGCTCAGCCCCGTGTGCATGCAGGCTGCCATTAGCCACTATTGGGGACTCTCCCTTTAGGTAATCGGCATGGGTGGGGAGAAGCAGCAGCCTTGCCTTGGAGAAGCCTGCCCTGTATCCCACTATGTCTACTTGACCCATTCCTCATACCATGGGTGGTAGCCAGTGCACAAAGTGCCTGGAACCCTACAAGCTGCTTGTCGAGGGAAACCCAGGAAAATGTCAAGATGAACTAGCAAAAGGTGATCTCTGGCCTCCAGCCCAAACGGAACAAGTCCAGAAGACATGGATGTGGAAGAAAGTGGAAGTCACACACCAGAAATTCCTGAGATGATGACAACCGAAGTAAAGAAATTGATCTCATAAGGCTGTAAAAAAAAAAAAAATCAGGTCAGAAATAACATCTCAGGTAAGAGAAGAAGTGACAGTAAAAGGATTGCTGAGCGTGTTTAAAGAATATACAGATAAAAACAAAAAGTGTAGGAGAACGAGGGAAACCTTGAATGAACAATATAGGGAAAAACTGTAAATGCATGAAACAGACTCAAAGTGATACCCAGGAAATGAAAAACTATTGAATACTGGCAAAACTACTAGAAAGAAACTCAGGATACTTGACTTTCAGACCTTGAAGAGAGAATCACAGCTAGTGATTGTGAAAGGAAAGATCTCTTAGAAATAATAAGGAATCAGGAAATAACAGTTCAATGACAGCAAGACAATGCGAAGAAAAATAATTTAATAGTGATAGATATCAGCAAAAAGCAGGCATCAACATGAACATCAACATAAATGATGTAAAGAGACCATTTACAAAATAATAGCAGAGAACTTCACGAGCATGAAAAAAGGACCTGACACACAGATAAACGAGGCAGATAGATTACAGCTAGCTATAACCAAAATAAATTGCACCCTGATATATAATAATCAAGATCTCAGAAATTCAGCACAAGAATAGAATATTAAAGACTGTTAGAGAAAAGAAACAGACAACCGAAAATCCTTCAGCATCACGACAGACTTCTCAACCCAAACTATCAACTCAAGAAGAGCTTGAAGTATTTCAAGTCCTAAAAGAAAACAACTTCCAGCCCAGATTGATGTACCGTGCAAAACTAAAAAATTAATGGAGAAATAAGATACTTGCAAGACAAAGAACCACTGAAGAAATTCATGATGACCAAACAAACCCTACAAAGAGAACTGAAGGATATTTGAGAGAGAGAGAGACCACTGTTCCTGGAACAGCAGCAGAGTAGGATCACTGAGCAGGGCAGGCAGTTGAATAGAGGGGGAATGTCAGGAGCCAATGGCAGGAAAAAAGCATGGAAGACACAAACCAGTGCATGTTGGCTGTAACCACTTAACCTAGATGGTCTCAATTCACCAATCAAAAGAAAACACAGGCAGAGGGGATCAAGAAACAAGATCCATCAATATGCAGTATACAACAAACACATTAATATGAAAGGATATTCATAGATTGAAAGTCAAAGTTCAGAAAACAGTGCTTCATGTGACAGGGAACCAGAAAAAAAAAAACAGGTAGCTTGCCCATCAACCACAGAATGGATAAGAAAGATATGACATCTCTATATAATGGAAAGCTGCTCAGCTGTAGAGCATAATCACGAGGCTCTTGTTGGTAAATGAATACAACTTGTGGTCACGCACTCAGGTAAAATTGTTCTAACTTTCATGGGTGAACATCCTGTTGTTTCCCTGGTATTAAAAAGCTGAAGGAGTCAGTGGATTCCAAAATGTACAGGAGATACCGTTAGTGTGAAAGGAGAGGAAAAGTCTAAAACGGGAAGATGGTAGCCATTGTTAATTCCCTATTACCTGTTTTAAAGCCCTGTATCATTTTTATTGTTTTGATTGGTTTTCTTCTGTTTTGTTTGGTTTGATTTTATTGTATTTGGTGGAAAAGGCAGCTATTTTGAAGATAATAAGATATATTGTTATCTATTATAAGCCATTGTTGATTTCCTGTTACCTTCTTTTGAAGTCCTATATCACTTTCTTTTTTTTGTTTTTTTTTTTGTTTTTTTTTTTGTCTTTTTCATTTTTTATTTATTTTATTTTATTTTATTTTATTTTATTTATTTATTTATTTAATTTATTTATTTTTTATAAGGACTGGAGAGCGCCCGCGGGTCTCGAACCACCGGACCAATTGGCCCGGGCGGTTGGGAAGCCAGACTGGAAGGAACCGCTGGGCTAAAGCCGGCCCTGTCTTTTTCATTTTTATTGGTACTTGGGGATCGAACTCACGACTGCCTGCTTGCAAGGCAGGTGCTTATGCTGCTGAGCTAAATCCTCAGCCCCAAAGTCCTATATCACTTTCATTGTTTTGTTTTAAAAATTTTATTTAGAGAGCAAAAGAAAAAAAAAAAACAGAAAAAGGGTACAAGTTAAACAGAATTTCAGAAAAAATAAACAGTAGAAAATCACTAGTTAATAGATTACTCTTGGGGAAGAGTTTATTCTTAACATCATAGAAAAGGCGTGCACATGCGCGTGTGTGTGTGTGTGTGTGTGTATGTATGCATAAGACAGATGGATTCTGAAAGATCACATAACAGAAGCTCTACCTTTTTAGAGAAAGTTTCAATCAAATCAGACCTCTGATTGCTTCATTCTTTCTCTTTAAGTGCTTGCAAGGGCCAGGAGCAAAAGACTTTGACAACAATAATCTATAACCACCAACCAAAAAGTAGATAAATCACATTTTTTTTCTCCTCACAGACATGTACAGAGGATTTAGAACTGACTGGAAACATTTTAGAGTCTTACGCTTCCTTGGTTAACAAATTTTATGTTCTGTGGCTGATTGGAATGTCAGATTGTTGTATTTGGATTAAAAGCATATATTTATATCAGATTTGTAAGCCTAGAGATCAGTAGTGTCTAAATTACTCTCCATTGTACTTAACATCTCACTCATTGCCTCTGTTATACAGTAAAAAAAAAAAAATTTTTTTTCGTCTTTTTGAGACAGGGTCTCACTATGTAGTTCAGGCTGGCCTTGATCTCCCTTCATAGTACAGGCTGGTCTCGAACTCGCAGTGATCCTCCTGTCTCAGCCTCCTGAGAGCTGGGATTACAGGCATGTACCACTATGCCCCATTGTATAGTAAATATATTTTTGAGTCAAGAGTTCTGTTATCTAGGCACTAGCTAGTTTTTCCATGTCAGTGCTTTGATTTTCCTCCAGTCGCTGTGTAACTCTTACCTTCCTTAGCAGTACAAAGACATGTGTGCGATACTATTTACAGATTTTCTAAGTGGCCACAATAAAGATGGAATATACAATAATAGCATTTTTACCCTGTCCCATGAAAAACTTGTCTCAAAGAAAATGTTTTAGATTTTCCTTTTTCCTGCTACATTTAAGTAATTCTTTAGGCAGCCAGTTGAGACAGTGACGTCTGTAGAGTTCACTTAATGTCCCACAATATACATGACCTGCATGCTGGACTCTGCTTTGTTCCCTTAGTGAGAAGTCTGCTAGACTAGCCAGCTAAGTACTGAAAACAAAATTTCATGATGATCGATTTTCCTAGGCCTACATTCCATAGTAAGAGAAGGGAAACTTAGAATTTTATTGTGTGATCATTATGTATATCTAAAATGTACCAATAAAGTCTAATTTTTAAAGATCTGATTGTATTTTCTTAAAAAGCAAAATACTTTTGAGTACTGTGAACATGGGCATTTATAAGTGACTTTTTCTGTTTTCAGGACTATCCTGTTAAGTGTAATCTCACTGCTTAATGAGCCCAACACCTTCTCCCCAGCCAATGTGGATGCTTCAGTTATGTTCAGGAAATGGAGGGATAGTAAAGGAAAAGACAAAGAATATGCTGAAATCATTAGGTAAGGTACTTTTGTATTTGTTTTGTTACTTTATACAACCCCAAATTGATCTGGAACCCAGGGTTTAACTCAAACTGAAACATGTTTCCTGTTTACTCAGGTTAATGCCTCTTTATTAGGTTACAGTGTGGGAAGAGCTTTCTGCCTGAATTTAATAAACTTGGCTAATGAGATAGGAACCTATTAGAAGAGGATCCACTTTCCCAGTAACCAAAATTTTTGGATTCTTAATTTTGCAGATTTCCTTTTCTAGCCATTTTAAGCACATTGTTCTAAATTTTTAGCATGTCCATTAAACATAATGAATATATTTACCTAAAAGATGCCAGATATTCTAGGCATAAGAAAGATACCTTTTTTTTTTGGAGATAGGCTCTCTCTATGCAGATCAGGCTGGTCTCCAGCTCACAACGATCCTCCTGCCTCAGCCTCCAGAATGCTAGGATTACAGGCGTGAGCCACCATGCCCAGCTTTGATTTTAAATAAATGGAGTACTATGGTTTATTGGCAGTTTTTGACTGTAGTATGAAGTATGTCCTTTTTTTTTTGGTTGGTTTTTTTTTTTTTTTTTTTTTTTTGGTATCGCGGATCAAACTCATGACTGCTGCTTGCCAGGCAGGCATTTAATGCCGGTGAGCTAAATTCCCAGCCCCTGAAGTATGTCTTTTTGATATCCTCATTATTTAACAACACTCAAAGATGATATAACCAAGAAAAAAGGCCAGAAGACATGGAATCTGAGGCTGCCACTCTTTGTATGACCATTTTATTAGTTAACTTTTTGAGTCTTTAGTTTCTCCATCAGTGTAAAAATGAAAAAAAAAGGTATCAGGCTCCATCTTTTCATTTCCTAATCACCCTAAGGTTTTTATAATAATTTCACAAGATATTTAACTCCTCTTAATAATACATTTTTATACCTTAAAGTGGAGCCTTAAGTACAGTTCCAGAATGCATACAAATTGTTATCACCAGAATTTAAAGTCTCTTGCTGTACAAATAGCCTATCCATAAATCTGGTTGGCGAAAATACTAAGTAATGTGAGAAAACAAAACAGTACAGAGAAATCCTTTGTGATTGCTGAGTGATATGAATCAGGACTTCCGTTTCCTACCCATTGGGCCTGCCTTTAGACCTTGCCTGACCCACAGCTATTTAATGAGATTATAAAGATAGAATTTGGGCCCCTGCACGTTTCAACACCCCAGTGTCTGATGTGTGCCAAACACTGAAGGCAGTTAGTGTGCGTACAAGAGAACCTGTAGAAATTTAGAAGAGCAGGAGTCAGCGGAGTTTTGAAGGACAGGCATGCTGCATGAAACAGGATCAGCGTCTTTGTTCAAGGAAAGGTAGGCTTCAGGCTTTCTCGGTGCTTCTGTTTATATTTAGTAATTTATTTAAAGATTTCTTGTCTGATTTTTTTTTTCCCCAACAGTTATATGCATGTTTTGTATCAGATACTCTCCTAAGTCATTAAGGCAGCCCTTTGTCCTTAGGGATTTCATACTTAGCATCTGTAAAGAGAAAAATGACCATTTATTGTAAGTGCAACTGTAAAAGACCAAACATTAGATTTCCAAGGGACAGATAATGCCTCCTAACTAAACATTTTTCAGGTTCAATTAAAAAAAAAAAAAGACGCTGAGCTGGGGATTTAGCTCAGAGGCATAAGTGCCTGTCTTGCAAGTGCAAGGTCCTGAGTTTGATACTCTTACCAAAAAAGAAGAAAAAGACTCTTGGAGTGCGGGTGGGGTCTTACAAAGGAAACAAACACATTTGTACGTCAAGAGTGATGTAAGCACTTTTTCAGTGCTTGAATGTAAATTCTGATTTGGAAAGTGATGGGAAATTAAGTAAGGAGCAGCAGGTTTTAAGAATGGAAATCTTGTTAAATGAAGTTTTAGAACTGAGTTCTAAAAGGGTTCTAAAAGGGAAGGGTTGCTCTGAATGAAAACAGCTGACCAGCGGAGCAGTGGGGATGACTACAGATCTGAGGATTTTGGATGAGATTTATGATTTAGTACCAGTGCTTATATGAAGAAAGAAAAATGGAAGAAGCTGGCTGTAAATGTAATCTTACCAAGTTAATAGCAGCAGCATGGAGACATTTGAAAGGTACTTGTTTATGTGTCTGCAGTTCAGAGGAACGTGTGAGCTGGAGGCTTGAGAGCTATCAGCATAATAAAAGGAGTTACATGTAAAACCATGGGAATGCGTATGATATTTCAGGTGGAGTACAGAGCTTGAAGCTTCAAAGAGTGACTTTGAAAGAGAGGTTTTGGGTACCAGAATGGATTGTATGCACGAGGGTGCCAGAAGTAGCTAAGGACAAGGCGTCTGCTTTAGCAACGTTCACATTCTGATGAGGGAAGAGAGAGGAGTGAACATTCAAAAACGTGTCATGAAAGAGGGGTAAATAGACTAGCAGTAGGTAGGGTAGACGTGAATGATGACATATGTGAGTGGCCAGGTGGCTACTTTAAGTGAGGTGGTCCTTGAAGTGCTTGCTTTTAGGGATGGACACCAGACCCTGCTTTTCATTCCCAGCACTGTGGAATTTTTTTTTTTTTTTTTTAAAGTTCTGGGGCCGGGGATTTAGCTCAGCACAAGTGCCTACCTGGTAAGCACAAGGTCATGAGTTCAATCCCCAGTACCAAAAAAAAAAAAGCTTTGATAAGTTCAGTAGTCCAAGCAAACCTGCCTTAAACTGATGCTGGAGATGTGAGTGACTAGCACTAGGAGTCAGATCAGGGCAAGGACAACCAACCAGTCCAGAAGAGGCTGCCACCGAGTGTAGTTACGGTGCACAGAGAAGACCTGGAGCCCAAAAGTGCTGGGATTGAAGAAAGCAGTGGGTGGTAAGAACCAAGAGAGGAGCACCGATTTTGGAATATGGTATAAAGCATTTGGATTTTACCTTGAAAATAAACAAGGAGATACTGAAAGTTGTTAGGGGACCTTGAAAATAAACCAGGAAAGTTGTTAGGGGTTACCTAGTGAGATGGGGAGTGAGAAGACTAGGAGGAAAGCAGTTCATTTGGCTAATGTGTGAGAGGCACTGCCTTAAACTCCTTTTATGTTAGTTTATTTTGAAACCTTTGCTATTAAAACTTCGAAAAATGGTACCTGATGGGCTGAAAGCCTTTGGATATGATACATCTGTTAGATGCTTCAGGCAGGTACTTAATGACAAAGAATCTTGATTGAAGCAAAGTATAACTATCTTTATGTCTTAGCGCCAACTATTTCTGTTATGCTCCATGTCTTCAGGAAACAGGTTTCAGCTACTAAGGCTGAAGCAGAAAAGGATGGAGTGAAGGTCCCTACAACCCTGGCGGAATATTGCATCAAAACTAAAGTGCCTTCCAATGACAACAGCTCAGATTTGCTTTATGACGACTTGTATGATGACGACATTGATGATGAAGATGAAGAAGAGGAAGATGCCGACTGTTACGACGATGACGATTCTGGGAATGAGGAGTCGTGACGTGCTCCTTCAGTGCCCCTGCACTGCCCTGCCGTCTCAGGCCAAAGGGAGGGGAGCGAGTGGGGACCTAGCAGTGGCCCCTCAGCAAAACCTATTCAACAGGGGGTGGGGAAACAAACACAGCTCCTGCTGACTCCCCTTATGGATCTCAGTTTGCTCCTTTTTATGGACCTTTAATGGAGAGAAAGTAACCCTCGACAGAATGTCTGAATTCTTGCATTCTTTACCCTTCCATCACTGTATTGATTTTTTTTTTTTTTAAACCCAAACTCCAGCATCACTTTGTCTTTACAAAATGTTCACGGCAAAACACACACGTTCGTTTAAGGTTCCTAAAGAATTAAATAGTCTTTTTAAGACATTTAATGTGTTTTAAAGCCGGGAACCCATTGGGAGTTCACAAGTGCTGCATATGCTGAGTAGCAAGAGAAAATACAAAAATGACCCACAAACTTTAAAAAACTTTTGCCAAGGTTTAGCTGCTCATTTACATTAGTGTGTGCACATCTGTTCAGCCCTTGATGGCAAATTCTGTTTCTTTCTCTTCAGGCTGGGATACGGTGGGCATCAGGGACTGGCTTCTCGCTAAGCCTGATGTGATGTGTTCTGTCAGCCTCCACAGCAGGGAGGTCTTAGCTACTCTGAGCAGAGAAATCAGATTTTGATTTTTGATGTTTTTTTTAATTGATTGGGATCTAAACTCTGAAATAAATATTCATACTTTCCATAGAACCGAGCACTTGGTTACTATTTATTTTAAAGGCAAGTTTTTTTCCTCCCACCAAGCAGTGGGGCAAATGGGGAAGAAACAAACTGATGTGTGGGTTTTTAGTGACGAGAACAAATGGTTTAAAAACATCAACTTTGGTTGATGCTGCTGAGGGAAAAAAAGTCAGAACTGCTGGTAGCCACTGTTGGGAGAGGAAACATCTGTTTTATGTATGTAACATGGCCTTCCCCTCAAAGATACACTCTTAACATGAGGTTTGGTTTGGTTTTTAATTTAAATAGCCACTTTCAATTACTCAGTATTAATCCTAGGTGCATGTGTTAAGATTTTGTCAATGAGCTGCTTACACTGATAGTGAAAAATGTGGACGTGTGAGACTTGAGTGAATGGTTCTTACTTGCTTTCACTGGATGTGATCTGGACTTTGTTTTTCCTTTCAGCGTGTTTGGAGCCTTTCCTGGGCTTGTCTCTTCTGGCAGCCAAGAGTTTTGATGATAGGCAGTTTCCAGGCCAGGTCAGAACTGTTGGCTGTGCAGTTGCTGCAGGTTTGATTCCCAGGTCTCAGTCATACGTTGTCTCCCATCACAATTGAGATTCCAGCAGCCTTTACCATACAGGGACTACAGAATTGAAGGTGATTTTTTTATTGTTGTTGTTAATGGGGTGCAGAAACTCGTAGTGTTGAGTGGGAAAAGCCTCTATAATATAAAGTCAGATTTCAGAAAGAAAATAAGCAAAGACTGACGACAGTCCTACTTAAGATCCCTGTACCCAGTGTCATCTTCAAGTCACAGCTCAGAAAGAACCAAAGGGCAGATTAAGGGCAGATTGGGGACAGGGGTAGGACAGGCCCTAGGACAGACCAGAGTAGCCGATGCTTACTTCCTTAGCGCCTCCTTCCTTTCTGATCTCAGGGTTTTCATTTGCTCTTCTAATGCTCCCAAACTTAAGCTATTTTCCAGCAGCCAACTCTGGCCTATAAGGCTTGGTCTATTGTTCGGTGGGAATATTTAACATGTTAAGGTTAATATGGGACATTGCTGAGCCTGGTCCCAGGATCTCTGTGACTCTCCACAGGGCCAGAGCTGCTGTTACACCTTCGATTTCACAGATTCAGGAAACAGCAGCTCTGTGTAGAGATACACTATTAATTTTCCCGAGTATAAATTCTTGCAGAATTTTGAAATGAGCTGTTTGCTCCCCACACTTAAGTACTGCTTTCAGATAACCTGCAAAACTTCTGGAGCCAAAGTCTTTGCCAGTGCTCTCAGATTTACCTCCCACTCAGCGCCCCCAATCACAAGTTTACAGCCAGTAGCTTGATTTTACTGTCTCAGAGCCCTAAAATGAAGCCTTTTATTCTCTTTCTGCTAAAGCATCTCACTCACTTCCCAAGGCACCTTGGCGCTATGGGAGGAGCTGTGCTGTTCAGCTCTGTCCCATTAGGCCCTGCTGGCCTCTGTTGCATGACTCAGGGAGCCAGAGAGCCCAGTGCAGGTCCTACTTCTTAGCCATTCCTTCAGCATGGCACTGCTGTAGGTGGGTTTTGCCTCTGATGGGAATACAATCTAGTTCCAGAAGCCAGGGGTATTTTGACGGCGACAGGTATTCTGATAGTTTAGCCTCACTAACAAAACCCAGATGCTGGTTCCAGTCCTTGTCTGTCCCTCAAATATCCTGTGGAAAAATACTTGAGTAAGGTCCCACCCCCCTTTGCTTTTGCCCCCCTTTGCTTTTTTTGAGAGTGGATGGAGGTCTCAGGCTCATGCCAGAAGCTTGTGAGTATAGTTATGATTATCTGGTATGAAACAAACAAAATTCTGCATTTTTAAGATTCCTTGATTTGAACTGAAGCCTCACAGAGTTGGTCTGTGTGTACTGAGAGGCAGAATGTAGACAGTAAAGCACCGCGTTCTGGTTCTGGTGTTGCCCCTCGGTCTCCCGGCCCCATCCCCTTTTCTTACCATTCCAGAGTTCTTTTCTACTAGCCAAACTTTTTTGTAGTCCTCTCCTGACAATTACTTGCTGGTTTATGTTTGGGGCATATATAGTAGGAGATTGGAAGGGGAAAATGTGTAGTCTCTGCTGGAAATTAATTCTCAACCCTCCCCATCCTGACGAAAAAAGGTTTACATTTATAACTAAGATTCAGATGCAATTTTCAACTATTTTGAAACCAGCAGGACACACCTGACTTTAATAGCTTTCTTAGCTGAAATTGTAGATGTTTTTCTTCAGTTTAACTTATAAAAGATTATCTGATGCATTTTGTGTTGACATCCCCTTTAGTGTTTTATTTTGTCTTTTTCTGCCCATCTGTCTACTAATAAAATGTGAAATAAAATATACCTGTATTGCTACTTCCCCATGGGATGACCCTCTTTTTTTCTTTGTGTTAAAAAGTAAAAGGTGGTATCAGTGTCTTCATTACCTTAGAAATCATGCTCAGTACTGAAGAAAAGTAAAACCACCCCCAAAGCCTGGCTAGTGTGCCTTTTTGACCTGCCCCACCCATCTCCCCAGAGGATCACCATTCCCAAACCACTTTCAAGGCATGTTTAACTTAATTCTAAAATAGGACAGTCTTGGAGGGGTACTTTGCTGCTCAAATACTTTGCCATCTGGGTACCCAGCTTCCTGGTGGTAACACCAGGAATGAAGCAAGAGGTTACATTAGTAAAACCCTGTGTGTTTAGCTTTATTTGTAGACACTGGCCCCTTTTTTCTAGCTGTGATTCCAACCTGTGAGTTAACAGCTTTACGTGTCACATCTGAAGTCACCACAGCTCACAATTCCAGAGGAATAAAAGTATTGAAGATGGACCCTGTGACCCTTGGCTGGTTTTGAGCCAATAACGGAACCAGTACAGGTTATAAATCTCCAATCTGAAATGCTCTGAAACTGGTGTGTAGAACTCTGGTCCCAGGCATTTGGATGCTCAGCACGTACCTGACACCAGAGTCATGTTATTAGCGCGACTGAAGTATGACATAGTGATGCAGACACTGAAATTAGAGGCTGAAACACATTGGGAAACATTTGCAAGAAATGCCAGACTCATAACCTGACTCAACTTTCATCTGTCCCAGCTCAGCCCTGACTGCTGGTCAAGGTTCTATGTGGCCGATGGAAAGCACAGGCAGGTGTGTCTTTCCACCTGGATCCAAGTTTTCGGCTTTGCTTGAGTTAGGAGACACTCTCCTGCCTTAGCGTTCCTTCTGCCAGGGCTCAGAGACTGCCCCTCTCAACAGCTGGAAAGAAGTCACTTTAGCCTTGTAACACAGGATGGCCCTGGCAGGAGGGTCTCAGCTGTCTTCCCAGCCACATCATTGGGCCAAGAGGAGGCCAGCAAAGACCACCACCACAATCTGAAGCCCAACAGCCTGCTGCCAGATGCCCCTGGCCAGAAGTCTGTTCCAGCTGTGAGGTCCAGGATGCCTCCATGGGGACCTCTGCCGAGCCACACCACTGATATCACGAAGTGCTCTCAGAATTTTTATTAGGTGGAGTCTGGGCAAGAGAAACCCCTGGGACAGCTGCCCACTCCGTCCGGGGCACCGGGAGTAGAGGACCCTTTTTGGAGATGGGCTTACACTGAAGTGGAGGCAGATCTTTGATTTTTAAAGGGGAGCTCACTGGCGTATTTTTCTGAGACCTGGTTCAGATTGTCGCCCTTTCACCAACCATTTAAACCAATCTCTAAGGACAGGACCAGATGCAGAAGCCCTGGCTCTCTGAGGACAAACATCAGCCCAGATTCTTGTTGGGCAGGTGATCATCTGCTATTCTCAGATCAAGATTTGGAAGGGGAACCATGACATACCAAAAGGACCAGTTTCTCAAAAACAGATATAAAATAGTTACAAAGGAAAGAGGACAAATCGGTTGGGAGTCTTCATTGGTACCTGACCCCGAAGCCCAAACTGCCTTGCCAAGGGAGATCCAAGGCCAAAGGGCACGGGCTTATTTGGCTACAGTGAGAGAGGTCTGGGTGGGGAGAGCAGACTTGGCTCATCTCATTTACAGTACATACATAAATACACTACATACACAGCAGGCTCCGGGTCCCAGAAGGAGGCTCCCCACAGAGCCTCAGGATCTAGGAACAGCCCTAGGCTCCCAGAAACGCACTCCCCGTGCTCGCTCTCCTGCCCAAGGTGAGCCCTGCTCAGAGCCCACCCCTCGCTCTGCAGTCTAGTTTGTCCAGTATGGAGAGTTGCCGTAGGTGGGTTTGGAGGCTTGAGCCTTGGGCTGTAGGGAGCTGGGCTGGCTGCGCTGTCCTGCGCCGCTCTGAGAAGGAAGGTAAAAAAGCTGTCAGGGCAGGAGGAAACCCACGCCCGGGGGCAGGCCGGGTCACCGCGTCCACTGAACTCACTGGAGTGTCCTGTGGGAGGTGGTGGTGCAGCAGCTGTGAATGGGGCTGCTGGTGGGCTGGCAGGATGTGCAGGAAAGGTGCAGGTGCGTAGCCAGGGGCTGCTCCAGGGGCTAAGGGGCCAGCAGAGCCCAGGGCTGAGGGCAGGCTGAAAGGTGGTGGAGTCCCTGCAGGAAATCCCTGCTTGTCAAAAGCCTGCAGGGCAGAGGTGACATTGGTGAAGGTCAGGCAGGGCTTCACCGCCTACCTACCTGTCCACCTTTGTTCTCCCTCACCTGTGTCTTGCTGTAGACAGCAGCAGTCATGTCCGGGAGGCCCGTGGCACCTGAAGACACGGATGCTCCTAGGAGGAAAAGCAATTAAGTGTTCCCCACAGCATTTGGTCCCAGCTCCAGAAGCAGTGAGGTGGCCCTGCCTGCGAGGATCAAGGAGGAGACAATCCCACATTTGATGCCAGAAGGATGGGTGGACACTACCTTTGACAGGCCCAGAGCCAGCAGACTTGCTTGGTGCCTGTGATGATCCAGCATAGCCACCCTTCGTGTAGTCACCCGCTGCTGTCCCCTGGGTCAGGTCATCATAACCTAGCATGGCAGCACACAGGAGACACGTGTGAGCTAACAAGCCTGCCCTGCCCTATCTCTGTCTCTGTCCATGGTGGGAGCACCCCTCACCTGTGCTGTAGCTTTGCTGGCCATAGCCACTGGCCTGCTGAAAGGGGGTGGTGGGGGTGCTGAGGCTCACACCATGCTGTTTGGCTGAGGCTGGAGGGACCTGGTGGGGCAAGTGGATAAGCACTAGTCTGTGAGCAGTGCAAGGCGACATGAGGTGACATCCACGACCAGAGAGAACCTGTGGTGTCTTTACCACAACACACCATAGAGCTAAAAGCAGGCGGGGAATGTTAACTTCACCCTCAGCCTAAACTGTTCTGGCGGCAAGGTGAGACTGCTCCGGGCGATGATGACCTGCCCCCACACCCTGCTTCTGCTCCCAGCTCTCACCCTTTCAGGACCTAAGGCCGGGGGAAGGACTGCAGCCCCCACAGGTACTCACAAACATGGTGGGCCCATACTGGAAGGCACTGGGTACACCCGTGTAATAGGGAAGGCCTGTGTAGCTGTAGCCAGGTGGCAGCGCGGGATTCAAAAAGGGCTGCTGAGCTGTGTGGTGGGTCTGGGATTGGCTCTGCGGGGGCTGAGCTAGGGTGGTGGGAGGAGCAGGAGACGCAGAATCACCTCTGCCAAACTTTGTGACATCACCTAGCAGAAAAACACAGAACCTTACACACCCAAGGTAAAGGCCAGATCGGCTCCTGCACACAGTAACCGGTCTGCCTGGCAGCTCAAATATGAGCAGCAACAAAAGCCTCCCGACCCTCCCACCTGCTCCCACCCTCCTGGGATCAGCCACAGGGCAGTACCCACCTCTCCCCTGCACCCACTGAGCCAACCCACCTGAATATGGATTGTTAGCCAAGCTCCCATCTCGGCTGGCCAGGGCTGTGGGTGCAGCAAAAGGAATTCCGTAGTAGTCCTGTGAAAGACCGGGGGACTCCTTCAGCACATGTCTCAGCCATTTCAGCAGCATGGGCACCAGGCACTCTGGGTGACAGCACGCTTCCCACACAGGTAACACGCCTGCAGACAGTCTGGGGAAGCGGCATCGCCGGGGTGTGCAACACAGGAGCCCTATCAACCCCAGGGGCTTTGCCAGGCCAGGCTCTAGAAGACCAGCCACACACGTCTGCCCCACACCACAGCTGTGCCTGACAGCTGCCTTGAGCTACCCCAACTTCCTGGCTTTTCCTACGTGAGGCTAGAGAGCAGCCAGGAAAGCTGGGGAAGAAAGGACACCTGGAAAAGCAGTCTGCAGTAGGAAAGGAAGAAACCAGGTAGACACAGGAGCCCAGACCTGAGCCTCAAGGCCTCCACCTACTCTCTCCGCATGGGCAGCAGCAACCCCACAGAGGACCCTGGCAAAGCATGGCAGTTGAACACAATGTGGAGACACAGCAGCGGTATGCCACAGAGCTCAGGACAGGGCATCCCTGGCCTGCCTGACTCCCCATCCTGGGCTTCGGCAGTACACCCACCTGGGGACTAACAAAGTGCAAGCAAGCCTGTGGTCACGGGGAAGCCACCCTGTTGTCTTCTGGCCACACCTCCAGGTGCCCTCCAGGGAACCCACATATCCTTAAGCCTGGAACCTTGAGAAGCAGCAGGACTAGATAACCTGCTCAGGAATTCTGTGGGAGGGTAATATGAACCCACGAAGGGAGTCCATGCACAGATGCTGAGAATTCTAAAGGCAGGAATTGTGCACAAAAGCTGAAAATGCTAGCAAATAACCCACTGGAACACTAAAAGCAACTTATCCCAAATGTGGGCTTGGAGGGTTTTCTCTAACGCATAAATTAAGAAAAAGGAAATCACATAAAGGTGAGTGGGGGGGGGGGGGACCAGCACTGGACCCTGCTCTGTACAGCTGCTGCCCGGAGACTCCTGCGAGACCCAGTGGCCTGGCCAACTGCCCCCTCAGCCTGGGCCACGACTCTGCAGGTGAAGAGCTCTGGCCCGAGTGAGCTGCTGTGTGACGCATGGGGGACCCTGACCCCACACCAATCATTTAAGCACAGGATGACCGAGTATCACCTAAAATGTATCAAATTTATCCAACAAAAGAACTGACTGGCTGAAAGGACACCTGCCTGAGTGACACTCAGGACAATACGTAAACAGAAGTGCTGCCCAGGCGACATGTGGGGTTAGGGTTAAGGTTGAAGAGGGGCAGGAGAGAGAACACAAGGAAAACCACAACCAGGGTCTGAGGATCTCAACAGACACCCCAGGAGGCATCAGGTTGAGAGAGTAGCCACCCCAAAGAGGCTGGCAGGGCAGGAAGCCAAGACACTTTGCGCCCCAGCCCACTCTTCCCTTGCTCCTGAGGCTCCCATGGGAAGGCCCAGGGTCCTCTTGCCCAGGGTCAGGATGAGGAAGTTGCCCGACCTGCAGAGAGCAGGGAGATGCAGCAAGGAGGAGAGGTCAGGCTCTGACGCTGCCCTCCCAGACAGCAGCATCACCGCTCTAGAGAGGGCAGGAGAGCAGTGCTGCCATCGCAGGCATGAACATTGGACGACACAGATCAAAAGAGCCATACAGGCGCTGAGGGAGATTTCATACACCTCAGGGCTGAGTGAGGGCCACATGCCTTGTCACATAGGGTTTTTAAGGGTCTCCCAGAGACTCAGGTCCAAAAGAACTTCAGCTTCCCTACGGCATTCATTCACCCAAGGTAAGGCCACAACAAGCACCATCACCAAACGGAAACTGCCTTCTCAGCAGTGGCATTGAGGAGCTACACAAGCCGAGGACCCTGAGGGTGGCAGTCAAAGTCAAAGGAGGAAGGACAGATCGGGACTCAGAACTGCCATGGCTTCCAACAGTTCACTTCCCACTTACCATAGGCAGCCGTGACTGCAGCATCTGAAGCTCATCATAGCCATAAATCTGCATGAGAACCCAGAAAAGGCATGTAAGGGACCACAGGCCATCTCATGGGCAGCACAAGCCCATCTGGGGCCAAGACACGTCCAGCAATAGTACCCAGATCAGCTGCTGTGAGAACCAACCGTCCCTGGGAGGCATCTAGATGGTGGAAGACATATGAGGAATTACCGGGCAGAGACGGGTGCAGAGAGAGAAAAGCAGTCCAAGCTGGGCACCACGATCCAAGCCCACATCCCCCTCACTAGGTCCTGTCTAGCGCCAGCTCCAAAAGCCAGGGGAGCTGGGGCTGGCCAGGAGTTCCACCATGCACTCACCGGGTAGGCAGGAAGCAATCCTCCAGGGCCCACGAGGTACTGGTTGTGCAGCAGAGGAGGTACCCCTTGAGGCAGGTTTGGAGGTGCTTTGCCTATAGAGTGAAAAATCAAATGCAGTAGAGCAGACACCTCAAAGAGTAAGATTCCTCAGCTGCTTTAGGAAGCACAGGTCACTGGCTCAGCTGGCCACAGTGCTGCCACGGTGGGTCTGTGGCCAGCAACCTAGAGAGGATCATGCTAGAAAGTAGCTTACAGAAGACAGACAGAAACGGTGTCACAATCACAATGTTTTAACACTAGAAAATTCTAGACCAGAGAAGTGCCTGTGGCCCACTAAACCAAAGGTGACAGTGCCCTGAGCAAATCTGAACATGAACAACAAGCCTCCTCCAAACAGTAGAAGCTGTTAGGTTAGATCTGGGAAGTTCCACCACACTAATGTGCTGAAGGCTTGCTCTCTAGTTGGTGGTGACACTGCCAGTGGTGGCCCTCTAGGAGCTGGGCCTTGCTGGAGGATGGCAAGAGGCCCGGAGAAGGGTGTGCTGGCCTGGGGCCTGTCTGAGGCCTAAGGCATGCAGCTTTCCCCCACCGTGTCTTCCGTGTCATGGTGCTGTCACGCCATAGCACAAACATGAGAGTCACTATGGACTAAAACCTCTGAGACCATGAGTGAAAATAAGCAGTTCCTTCTCCGGGCTATTTCCCTCTCTGAGCTCAGGTGTTTTGTCACATTCATAGAAAGCTGACACAGAAGCCAAAAGTGCCAAGAAAGAGACAGGCTGTGTTAAAGGCAGGTTTTGGGAGTTTCCACTTCTGCTAAGCCATTAAGACAGCCTGGATTTAGCTGGCAGTCACAGAAAATGGCCAGGAGAAGGCCAGGACAGGTCATGCCAGACCCCTCCAAGTCACCACACCAATTCAGCTCCAGGGATGAACAGGGCAGAAAATAATGGAGAGCCAGAACCACAGAGGCCTCCAAGAATACCCCACAGATTTTCACCTGGCAGATGGATGCCATACTTCCCTCACAAAGGCTGGAAGCGTCAGCCTCACGAGGTCAGTACATGCCATGCCAGTGGCCAGGTGACACAGAACCAATGTGCTGGTCCTTGTGGCTACCCATCACACCCCCGTTTTGGGAGGCCAAATGTACAAATGTGAGGGGGTGAAGATGGGCATGAAAAGCCCCAGGGTACCTACCTGACGTCACCAAAGGTGCAGTCCTGCCAGTGCTGCTGGGTGCGCTCACAGTGGTCCCACCCACGCAGAGGCTGCTTGAGGTGCTCACGTTGCCAGGTGGGGTGACGCTTGAGGAAGGGGCGCTCGAAGAGGAGGGTGCTGCCGTGGAAAAGGTCGCTGAGGACTGGATGGAAGAGGGGCTCTCCACATTGGCATGCTACCAAAACAAAAGCCAGGATACATAATCTGGAGGCAGAGAAGGTGGGGCTAGGGAGAGCCTGGCTGCCCTTTGTGCTTGTGCTTCATGGCTGAACAGACAGGTGACAGTGCCAGCACCTGGGGGCTCTCCGGAGGTGAACTCTGCCCTCAGTGGTCACCATGGTCTCTCATACTGCAAACAGATTCAGCCATCAGGACTTAAATGTCATTGAAATCATTAAAATTAAGCTCTATAACCAAAGTATACTTTAAAACCCTTCAAGATGCTTGTGTTTTGCTATCTAAAATAAGACATGGAAGCACCAAACTACAGATAACACATGAAGAAAGAGTGTTGGAATACAAGATAAGAAAAGCAGAATAGTCTCAGAACTTCTGACCACAGGGGAACTCGAGCCCCGCCCAAGTCAGAGTCTCTCTTTCTACTGGTCTTAGCTACTCTGGTCTGGAAGCCACAGGAGACCATGGCAGTCCTTTAATCCAAAACCTGGTAAGACCATGCAGTCTATCAGTGCCTTACCAGGGCATGCGTTCCTGAAAACGCAAGGCCTGCCACTAGGCTTGCTCACAGATATCCACCAGGAAGGAAGATGAAACACAGCAGAAAACTCATCTTAGCTCCAGAAATCTGCCGAGCAGTGCAATGCTAGTAAAAAGACACCATGAAGCACTCAAACACTGGTAGGGGCAGGGGGCTGGGCAAACAAGTAGGAAAAAGGTCAGTAAGACTGATACCAGGGGCTGGGGATACAGCTCAGTGGCACAAGCACCTGCCTGGCAAGTACAAGGTCCTTTGATTCCTGATACCAAACAAACAAACAAACATAAAACCCACAAATGTATAACTGTTATCAGTGTTCACATGAGAAAAAGTGCAAAAGCTACTAGAAGAGGGGGTTCCCAGGATAAAGACAACTATGACCTTCGAATTTTCTGTGACATCTCATTCATGTCAGACTTCCTTCCTCACCAGATTAACAGCTAGCAGCATTTGCCACAGTTACTGCATCTGAAAACATGTTCTCTTAGGATATCAGGGAGCCTGCTCCAGCACAGAACAGGGTGCAGATGGCCCCAGCAGAAGGAGGCTAAGGAAGCACAACCTGCCCAGCACCAAAGCCAGCGGCCTCGCCAAGAGACTCCACTTCAGCCCAGCACCACCAGCCACAGGACTCAGAACAGCTCTGATCAAGGTTCCCAAATGTTACTAGTCACACAAATTCCACAGGAGTAAAAACAAACAGGAGACATGCTTGGGAGAGAACCAGGTCCCAGCATGTTGAAAGAACTCAATGAAATCATCCAGAAGGCTTCTCCTTCCATTCCACTGTCGCTAGCAGAGCCCATCTGTGTCCCTCTGCCGCCCAGCACTGTGAGATGTCAAACTGTGGGCCTCATAGGCTCACACCACGTGTATATGGCCTCACTCAGGCCAGTCAGTGTCCTGGGTGGGCAGTTCCCCACAGATGGGCCCAGAAAAGCAAGGAAAGGAAAAACACTGGGATTTCCCTCATAATGCTGTTTTTAAAAAAATTATTATATGTTATGAGAAAAAAAGACATTGTGTGTGTGTCTGTGTGAGCATGTGCTTCTTTATGAGCCAAGTGTAGTCCAGGATGGCCTTGAATTTGTGGCAATCCTCCAGCCTCAGCCTCTGGAGTACTAGGTCTACAGTACTGGCACCTGGCCAATGTCCAAATATATTTTATATACATTTTGGTATCAGGACTCAAGCTCATGACCTCATGCTTGCCAGGTAGGCACTATGCCACTAAGCTATATCCCAGGCCCAATGTGTGTATATTTTTTAAAACCAAAACTAAATAAAATTTTTTTTTGAGGCAGTGTCTCCCTTTGTGGCCCAGGTGGCCTCAAAATCACAGTGATCCTCCTGTCTCAGCTTCCACACTTATAAATCAAAGTATCTGCCAGGCACAGTAACACATTCCTGTAATCCTAGGATTTCAGAGGCCAAGGCAGGAGGATCACTGTGAGTTCAGGGCCAGCCTGGGCTGAACAGTGACTTCAATGCCAGCCTGAAATACACAGAGAGGCCCTGTCTCAAAACAAACACTCTGCACCTCCTACCACAAACTGCTACTAAGTCTCCCTCATACAGAGGGTGCCTGCAAGAGAACAAGGACCAAACAAGAAAATGAACAGCTCAAAAAAAAGTAAATTCAATGTCTTTCAAATATATATACAAAAGTCCAATCTCATTCCATTAAATCATATACCAAAAGGCTATTTTTTCTTAATACATTAGAAATGTATGCAAAAATGCCATTCTGAGGAGCTGTGGGAAATAAGTCATTTCGTTTTCTGCCAGTAAGAGATGAAAACTAAGAATGGCAACTGGTGTGAGCCATGTGCCTCACATTCTACATCTGGACTTTACCCTCCAGACAGCTGTGAACCAATATAATGCAGAGGTTATGCAACGTAACACTGCCAAGACAGAAGAAAGGTCCTGAAGGGAGACAGAAAGTAACACAGTGCAACAGTACAAGAACAAACGTCCATATGTCCAAGATGCGGCAAGGGGCACTGAGTACAAAGTACTCCATTAATGTGACTGGAAAAAAGAAAACATTAAGGGAAAATTACTATGTTTAGGCATTTTCTTTCCTTATGGATTTCTGGTTAGTCTTTCAACACAGGGTCTTGTGTTGTAGCCCAGGCTGGCCTCAAACTCACAACCTCCTGCCTCAGACTTTCCAGTGCCAACACTGAAGACCTGCGCCACCAGGCCTGGCTTTTTTTTTTTTGGGGGGGGGGGCAGGGGAGGTGGGGAATGGGTCTTTTTGAGACAGGGTCTCACTATGCATTTCAGGTAGACATGGAGCTCACTTTGTAGCCCAGGCTGGCTGGTCTTGAACTTGCAATGATCCTCCTGCCTCAGTCTCCGGCTTATAGGCGTGAGCCACCACACCCTGCTTTTTTTTTTTTTCCATGCCTGTCTTTTTATGGATATTTTTAAAGCCTATATCGAGAAAACAAGCAGTTCAGGCAAAGCCAAGAGACAGGAAAATTTTTCAGTATGTACCTTTTCACATCTTTTAGTATTATTTTCACTATCTCAATGACGGAACCACTATGTCACACTGAGTGTGGCGCTCCCCAGATGAGCATTTCTGGACAATCTCCCCACTCCAATTCCTGGGGCTTGGCAGCTGCTCCTCAGTGCTTGTCTCAAGGGGAGCCAGGGACGCCACAGTTGGAAGACAGGGGAAGGTGTGCAAAGAGTCCACACCACACTTCTCTTTGATGAGGGCAGCCCACGTGTTTGTGACAAAGGATCTCGTGTAAAATTTCACTTGGAAAACAAGTCTGAAAGTCACTGGGCTTGACAGGTATTAGGAGGACAGACAGCAGAACTGTCCCTTTCTACCTCCTCACCTGCAGCTGGGCTGATGCTTTCTGCAAAGGAAACCATTTCACCCATTTTCTGCATCTTCCAGTCAACTCCATCCAAAGTCTCACTACTGTGAACCTGCCTCTTCATTCTTGCTAAGACCCTGCTGCCCCAGAGTATGGACACTCTCTGTCTAGGCACCTTTCCATCCATCAAACCCTAGGTTCCAGTGTATCCCTGTTGCTCAACGCCCCCTAAAACTGTGTACTCCCATTTTATCACCTCTCCTCTCTTACCCTGTCACCCATCTGGTCTGACACTTCTTAAAGCCAGGCTCCCAGCCTCCCAGCTAGCCAAGCCACCACCAATAAGCCACACCATCTAGGGTACCCCGGGACCCTCTCAGCTGGTGCCTCCACTCTTTATCTCTCTGCTCTGCCTTCCTCAACAGCACAATTCTGCTTTCACCTATGCTCTTATACCCTTCAGACTGCCTTTCTCCAAGTGCCTGCCTGTGAGATGAGAAAGACAACATGGACACAGACCAAACAGGACCCGATGACAGCCACTATGACCACCAACGGGATGGATTATAACCACACTCACTGTACCCAGAACCAGAACCATCAGTCTCAGACAGACATGTGCATGGAGGCCCATGGCGGGAGCTCCTCACCCACATTCTCCCTTTGTCGTGTAAGTATTTTTCTGCACAAGTAACAGAATTATTACAACACCACAGTCAGGCCAAGGATTTAGCTCAGCAGCATAAGCTGAGCTGCCTGGTAAGCACAAGGTTGTCAGTTTGATCCCTTGTACCAAAAAAAAAAAAAAAAAAAAAAAAAAGAAAGAAAGAAAGAAAAGAAAAGAAAAGAAAAGAAAAGAAAAAGAAACGATGCTCTTGATTACAAGTTTTTAGTGGAGCCTAAGCTGGAGTCAGCAGCAAACATATTTTTCTCCAGAAAGCTTTCAAAATCTCAATGTGACAATACCTTCCATGCTGACAGGAAAAACTCTAAATGAAAAGAGTATGGGAGCAAGGTGACTGCTCGGCCCTCCTTGTAATACCACACTTCTCCCATGGAGCCATGCTTCACACCCTCGGTGTCCGCAGAGCCCAGAAAAACAAGGGCTTCAACCACATAGCAAGATCAAAGTACTCTGGCCAGGCACAACTGCAGATTGTCCCAGCTCCTACACATTAACACACTAGAGCCCAGCTGCTTAGCACAAAGCTCCCACAGACTCACCAGGCGGCAGGGAAGAAGCCCTTGGGTACTTACTGTGTGTGGTGTGCTTGAGGGGACTGCTGCATGTGCAGAGGAGAGGCTGCTCTGGTGGCCGGACAGTGAACTAGAAGAAAAAACAAAGCACCTGTATCCGTCCAGACGTTGATCCACAGGAGCGAAGCCCACAGCCACGGCAGGTGGAGCCTGTCTGTGGCAGGCCTCCGTATCAGACTCTGTAGCCTCGGAACCAGGATAGGGTCATGGTGAGAAATGACCTAAAGAGTCACTTGTGATGAGATTGATACATCCTGGCCTGGAAAAACCTCCAGAAGCAAAGTCAGTAAACTGTAACTCTTTAGGCTGCCGAAGAGCTAGAAAAAACAGGTCTGTGCTATAAATACTGCTATGCTTGGCGAGCACATGACATCTGTGGTGAGATATATCCAACCCCATATACTCAGTCGGAGCCCACATTCCCATCAGATCTACAGTGTTAATCAATTAATTTTGCTGAAGAGGTCAAGAAGCTATCTGGAACCATGTCAATTTTTAAGTCAAATATTTACTCAGAAATCCAACATCACTCATACTTGAGGTACATGATGGGTAAGGCAAGTCCAGAGCTAAGGACAGGCTAGATGCAGGGTACCACATGAGGTCCAAGAGGAGTGGCAGAGAATCCCTGGTGCCATCCACTTCCTGGAAGGCCCAGTGCTCTGTGCCAGCAGAGGCAAGGTTTTCTTTCACATATTTGGCAGTTTTTAGCCCGCATGTGGCCAAAACCTAAGCTCAAGTATTAAGGGAAACTCCGGAGAAGTCCCGGTGGATGCAACAAGTACAAAGTGTACTTGTGGGGCATGCAAACCTCTACTGGGACTTCAGCGGCCTTCTCACCTTGGGCCCACATTTCCCCCATACCTGCTAAGCTGAGAGAGGGGGCTGCTGGACAGGTCACCAGGCTGAGACAAGGAGGGCAAAGCAGCAGTATGCTGGGACACAGAGGGCAGAAGCGCAGTGCAGGAGGTGGTGCTGGGCAGGGAGCCCACAGATGGGAGGGCGGAGGGAGGGTCTGTCATCTTTGGAGCTGGAGCAGATGAAGCAGCTGTAAGAAACACATCTGTTTAGCCCAGACCAGTCTTGAGGATCTTGTGGCATCATCAAGCTCAGGTGAAGCACACACAAAGGTACTTTCCCTGGGTGATGCCCATCACCGGGTGGCCAATCTCCGTCAGCACAACTAGCAAGATGTTTGACATCTCCAAGTGCGGCAGATTAGAACGAAGGGTAGGAAGTGGCATGGTTATAACATTAAAATGTCCTCAGACACAGACATAATTCTCTACCTATGGAAACCTGACCCTCAGCACCTAGAAAAGAACAGAGGTGCCGAGACTGATAAACACAATTACCAAGTGAGGTGTTTCCCTCCAAAACCGCAGTGAGGCTTGAGTAAAAGGTAAACAGACAAGACCACCCCAGAGTACTCTAGCCATTCAGTACCTGCATCACTGCCAGCTCTAGGCAGGGAGCCGAGAACCCAGTGCATACACCATGGAGTGGAGATGCTTCTATTTCTACTCATGGGAAAAACAGTAAAACAACTGCTGGGCCACACCTGCTTTCAGATGCCCAGTGAGAATTTCACTGGGACATGCCTGACAGATTCATCTCAACACACATGAACAGACAGCAGGCTGCAGAGAGGAGGCCAGATGAGCAAACCTGGCCTATGGAAAAGACTCAGGTTAGTGCTGTCCACACACTCACTTCAGATATGTGCTTGATAGTACATCATTGTCTTTTCCAGACAGGAAGAGAAGCCAGCAAACAGGAAGGGCAACTGTGTCTAAAAACACACACAGGCTGGGACAGGTCAACCCTTAGAGGCCTTTCTTTTCCTGAGCCCTCCTCCTCCTCCTCGGCAGCCTGTGCCAGAGATGAAACTGCCCTTATGGAAAACCAGATGAAGACAAAACTAAGGCCTGAAAAGGTGCCTCCCTAGCCATGGATGACACTGAGAACATGCTCACAGCAAGCTACGCTCTCAAACAACATGCAATGGAGATGGAGGGCAGGAAAATAAAAATAAAAACCTGTTTTCAATGGGTGCTGTGCTTTCCAAATACCTATTATCTCATTTAAAATTAAAATCTCCAACCCCACCAGGACTCCTATATGTGTTTTCAACCCCATGACTGGACAAAAGAAACTGGACTTGATGCTACCACATGAGACTCCAATGGCACCCAATAAACTCACAGAGTTGTGACATTTCTCAAAACAGCCCTGGCAGCCCAGCACTACCATCAGTACTGAAACCAAATTCCAGTACCTCAATTCTCATTAATCCAACAGAGGCTCACTCACCTTGTCTGCTAACATTCCATATCCACACTCTCAAAAAAAAAAAAAAAAAAAAAAAAAAAAAAAAAAAAAAAAAAATCCTCTTAAAAAAGTCCTGCTGGCTTCTGGACTCAATAGTGGATAATCCATCTGCTTTACTAAATGATGAAGGAAAACCAACAGCCACAAAAGAAACAACTAACAAGGATTTACCTTCATCATCTCCAGTGATCACCAAGGAGGCTTTTTTTTTTTTTTTTTTGGTGGGGGGTCTTTTTCGTTTTTATCGGTACTCTCACGACTGCCTGCTTTCAAGGCAGGCGCTTATGCCGCTGAACTAAATCTTTAGCCCACGGAGGCATTTTTTTTACAGGGAACATTTTATCTTCTGCTCTCTTCCTAGAAATTCATTCTTCAAATTCTAAAAGCAATGAGTGTATCTTTGCTAAACTAGGACAGCTGTTTTGGTTTGTTGTTTTAAAAGTCTCTTAAGCTACTCAGGAGGCTGAAGCAGGATTGTAAGTTTGAGGTCAGCAATCGTGTGCACCACAGTAAGACTCTATCTCTAATGAAGAGAGAGACAGACAGATTGAGACAGAGAAAAGGCAAAAAGAGAGGGAGCACAAGAAACGGGAGGGAAGGGGAGGAAGCAGGAGGAGCTGCTGTTCCTGTCAGATGGCAATCTCTTCACTAACATGGAACCATGTCTTTGAACAGATCTAAATGAACGCTATGCTCTGCATCTGGCATCAAGTCTAATTAGGGCAGAAGAATATCAGACAATATCTCTTCTCGCCATGTCTGTCACATTTCTATAATACTAGTAGCTACTACCTAATCAAATGGGAACCTCTAATGATCTTCACTAACTCTGCCACAGAAAGAGAACTTCCTTTCTCTTAACCACTGAAGGACCAGAAACCATTTTCAGAAAAATTATCCAAGGGCTGCTCTGGAGAATTAGTCACTGGCTGCTTTGTGTTTTCCCATCATGTCAACCACACTTTATCTGTCCTCCACCAATCAGGACAGGAATACAGTTAGGTGACATACTTACTATCCAGCGTCTGCTGATTTCGACCACCACCATGTCCATTCTACAAGAAACAGAAAAATAAGTAATCACACCTTCCTCTCAAATCATTATCCAGATAACTTTCTATTGAGATTTAGTAACAACCATAGAAAGTACAGATTAATGAAGAACAATAGTCTGTTTTATTCTTTTGCTCTCACTATGTAGTTCAGGCTGGTCTGCTCCTCCTACTTGTCTGCAACCAGCAGGATTCTTTTTTTGTTTTCCAACAAATGGAGAGATGGTACAAAAAACTCGTATCCCATAGGGCTTACAGTTTTGAAAGAAAACAAGCTTTGCTATTTTAGGAAACAACAAATATGGTACACAGAAAGCAGCAAAACAGTCCTAAAATAATTCTTTAAAATGTTTAACTGGTGGTGCACACCTGTAATGCCAGCGCTTACGGAGGCAGAGGTAGAAGAATCTCAAATTCAAGACCAGGTAGCCAACTTCATGGCTTAGTGAGATCATGCCTTCAGATAAAAGGGCTGGAGATGTGGCTCAGTGTGAAGGCCCTGGGTTTGATCTCTACTACTACAAAAATTAAATTTGGAGTGGCCTACCTTACTACCTCCATCTCTCTCTCCTTTCCCTCCCACTCCCCCAAGTTTCCTTCTAAGATTTCCAGTAGATAACATTTCTATATCTCAACTTGAGAAAGACTCTAACCACAGCCATAACAAACAAATACACAGCTGGTAAAGGACAAGCCTTTTAAAATATGATAAAAGAGATGTGATTTCTTTATCTGGGACAAAAGCTGATAACAGACTATATATAATTACAGCATAATAAATTCTGCTAATAGTAATTCAGAATCACATGTTGTGAAGGTAAAAGAATAGTAAGGAAGAAGGAATAAAATATTCAAAGGCAGACTACAGACCATGTGGAAGAGCACAGTACCAAAGCCAAAATGGTTACACTTGTTAGAGGCTTGGTGTTTTGCCACCAAGTATGTATGTCCATAGCTTCACGCATTGAGCCTTAGAGATGCCTGCTATAAGCGAACTCAAACTATAAGAACTGTATTCAAACGGTAGCCAAGTTTCAAAATAAAATCTTACCTATAGCATACTATATCAAACTACATACTAACTTCCAAGTAGATTTCCTACAGAAGAAAAAGCCCTAAAACATCACTCACCATGACGGTCCCTGCAGCCGATGCTGGTGGACTCATGGAGCTTTGGTATGTGAGCCTGCTGTGCACAGAACTCTGGTCATAACAGGAAGGTGTTGCCACAGGGCTAGCAGAGCTCAGGGATGGACTGCTCATACTGGAGGAGGTAATGGTTGGAGCTGTACAGCTGGAGTTCTGTACAGCACTGGTCATTGGTAGAGAGTTACTCGAAGGATCACTAAAAACAGTGAAAGATATTAGACATAAATAGATGTTGCCTGACATAGCTTCCTTAAATAAAGCCATTTCACCTCACTGCCAGATTCTAGGTTCAATAAAAATGTAACTATAAATTTATACTACCATGTCCTTTAATTCTACTAAATAAAGTTCAATAATCCTTCACATACCCATGAGACTCACCAAATTTAACTGACATGCAAGGGGACATTTTTAAGAATCCTCAAAATGGTTTAAGGAGTCCAGGCTTCTAGCATGGTGTTTCAAAATGGAAACCCAAAATAAATACCTGATTTTGTCTCTGGACATGGAAAAAGTTTAACCAACAAAATCTTAAATACAGGATTTCTAATCTATAAAACATTCCACTGAACGAAACTAGTGTTTCAAAAATGCAGAGTAACTGAGCTGTTTCTAGATTCTGAGTAGGTATGTAAAATACTGTAACTACTGTGGATAGTGTCTGCCCGTTTTTCGAATGGTTAAATACACCAATTACCATAAGACTCAATAATTCTACTCTTAAGTATGTATCCAAAGAACTGAAAGCAGCATACAAAACCTCCAATTAAATGCCCTCAATATGATTCATTATGAAGAAAAACAGCCAGGGATTTTGCTCAGCAGCTTAAGTGCTTGCCTGGCAAGTAAGTATGAGGTTGTGCTTCAATCCCCAGTTTAAAAAAAAAAAGAAAGAAAAAAACCTAATCTGCACCAACTAATGAATAAATGCACAATGTAATAACTTTCACAATGAAACCTCTGGCAATACAAAGTATACATAAACATAAATGACTCCTACAAACCTTATGCTAAGTCAAAAAAAAAATACCACGTTGTTGTATGCAATGGTCAGGGGAAGCAAATCCTGAGATAGATTACTGATGTCAAGTGACAGCAGGGAGAAAAACTGAGTGTATACTCTCACAGGGTTTCTCTTGGGAAAGAAGAAAAGTTCTAGAAATAAACATTGTGGACAGATGCAAAGCCCATTACTATAGGATGATTTCCTATATTTTGCAAAGAAAGAAACCAGAGAGTGGAAGTTTTATACCTTAAAGTCTTCGAATACAAGCTGATGGGAATCTGATTACTATTTTCACCACCTGGAACTGATCCAAACTCAGAAAGAAAGGATTCTGATCCAAACTCGAGGGCTCCAAACTGAACATTTAATCCTATGACATCTGCTGAACCAGGCATTTCCACTGCAGAAGCTGGAATCTGAAAAAGCAATGTAATCATATCAGAACAGAGGCCAGGGACTCATATCTTAAAGGGTTACAACCGAGTCAAATGAGCAGTTGTGTTCCCTAGGCTCTCCTAGCAGAAACCCAGAGAAGGAAGGAAAGAAAAAGGAGTTGGAACTATTTTTTAAAAAGATGAAAAGCTGTGCATTACCTGTAATCCCAGCATTTAGGAGGCTGACACAGCAGGATCACCTCAAGTTTGAGCCAGCCCCATCTCAAAAAATTAAACAAAACATAATAATAGCAATAATAAATGGAATGAAAACAGATTAAAAGGAGGGCTGAGTATTTAGCTCAGCAGCATAAGCACTTGCCTGGCAAGCACAAGGTTGTCGAGTTCAATCCCTGGTACCAGAAAAAAGAAAAAAAAAACAAAAAACCCCAACAGATTAAAACAGATTGGTTTTTTTTGAGACAGGGTCTTCTGGGTCTGCAGTTCAGGCTGGCCTTGAGCTCACTTCATAGCCTATGAACTCGCAATGATCCTCCTGCCTCTGCCCCCCAAGTGCTGGAATTACAGGCATGTGCCACACCAGGCTTAAAAAGTAAATTTTTTTTTCTTTTTTCTTTTTTTTTTTTTTTTTTTTTTCTTTTTATCGGTACCAGGGATCGAACTCATGACCGCCTGCTTATAAGGCAGGTGTTTATGCCGCTGAGCTAAATCCCCAGCCCCTAAAAAGGAAAATATTAAAAGGTAACAGGGAATGTGTTACTGCCACCAACTGCTCCTAGGAGTATGACAGTCTCAGAGGTAAGCTGGTGAGTAAATGAGGGGGAAAGTGAGCACTGACTATGTTCAGGAACACATCAAGTCAGAAAGCATTACCCGTTCAGGGAACCGCTCACATCCCAATTACAGTATGCAGCAAAAGTAAAGAACAACAGACACTTTAAGCCACATCCTCAATCTGTATTTGAATTAAGGGCCTCTGGCTCTCAGCACAAATCTGTCCCTTAATTTTAAACCAATCTCTATAAATGGCCAAATCCTCACAAAGCAGTGCTTGAAAACACTGCATTCACAGTTTGGGAGATTTTAGTGCCTTACTACTTGAGCAGACATTAAATAAACCCTTTGGGATTGAGACTGCATGATGGACTGCCTACCTTAGACGCTGGAGGTATCCGCCGCTTAGGGAGTTTGATGTGTTTGTGTTGTGGTTGGTGGGCAGATACAGCGCTATTTTCAACAGCCATGTTGGGAAGCTGCAAAAGTTTGTCCATAGTGGAAGCACTGTCCCTGGGTGCTGATTCTCGGTGCTGTGCTTGGGAAGGAAAGGCCTCTGAGCCAGGAAGAGGAACTCTGGCTGCTTGGGTCTGGTGCTGCTGACGCTGACTCAACTGGCTAAGAACAGTGGACGGCTCAGGCTGAGGTTTGAAGTCTATGAAATATGTGAAGAAAGTAAGAGGGAACAATTATTTGCATTAAGGGCTTAAGCCCCTTCTTTACCATCACCAACCACAAGGGTTTAGATCACTACCAGATTCCCTGAATCATCTAATTGAAACTCATGTGTGTATGCATGTGCACACACACACAAATACTTAAAATCTGGAGAGGAATACCTGAGTAGGTTAATAGCTTAACTTCTGTCCAGAGAACACACACAGTTTAGGCTTAACACAGACAGAGATCTCTAAGAACAGTGCCAAAGTGCTGCTATATACACTTGGCCATTAGCTAACAGAGTTATTTTATTATTTTATTATGGATTTTGTACGTAACTTTATTTTTTATTTGGTTTGATTTTTGTTTTTTTGGCTAGAACTTGGGATTGAACCTAGGCCCTATGCATGCTAGGCAAGTGCTTTACCCACTAAGCTACCTCCCCAGTCTATGTAATTTTAAAAAATTACTTTATTACTTTTACTTGTATGTAATGTTAAAAATGGGAGCAATTCTGCCTTGCAAGCAGGCAGTTGTGAGTTCGATCCCTGGTACCGATAAAAAGGAAAAAGACAAAAAAAAAAAAAAAACTGCCTCCTCAATATTGCATGATCAAGACAGGGAGAAGCCAAAGAGAAAAACCAAAGAGACCCCCCCCAAAAGCAGCTGCCTTTGTTTCAGACTTAAAAACCCTAAATGTACTTCTCCAGGCTCTAAGAAGAGCTCAGCGACTAAGCTTATCCGCTACAGAACTGTGGAGGCCAGGCCACCTTCTGAGGGATGGGACGGCCTTAGGAGGCCCTGCACCACTTTTTGCCTGCAAAGGCGGTCCCCCAATGGCAGCAACTGCACTGAGGCGAAGGCTCCAGAAGCGCAGACCCTGTCTCTCCAGGGGCCTAACAAAACTAAGGGGCCCCAGTCCACTCTGCCCCTGCCCTTTCCCTCTGGCCCAACTATTACCTCTACAGAGGAGCCCTAAGTGACCGTGACTATTTGAAAACAAAACAAACGAAAAAACCAGCCTATTGCTGGACACGGCACATTTCTTGGTCCTTCTCTTCAAACGCCTTTCTTCCAGCCACTGCACCTCAATAAAGAAAGTCACCAGAGAAAAGAAAAAGCTGTAACTGGGATGGCTTTTTCTTCACTCATTCATTTTAATTCTGCCTAAAGGCTAGTTCCCTCTGATGTCCAAGGTTCTATAATACGTTGCCTTACATCAACACACCAAGTGAACCCTAAATGAGACCTCAACTGGTCTCTTTCTTTCTTAAATAAAAAATAATAGTAAAATTAATAAGGCAAGTTGCCCTCTGAAATAAAATGGCTTTAGACATCCAGCAGCACAGGGAGACACTTGTACAATTACAGAAGTTAAATGTTATATACACATTCCTATCCTTGTTAATATTTCCATAGCAGTTCAAGATACTAGACAACAGATTAATGACATCATGTCAGATTCTGAAATTCACTGGATCTTCTTAGTCTCTATTTGCTTTATTTATTTATTTTTTTGGGCAGTGGAGTACCAGGAATTGACTGAGGACCCCGTGCTTCCCAGGCAAGTGCTTATACCACTGAGTTATATCTCCACCCTCCACCTTTTTTTTTTTTTTTTTTTTTTTGATGCAGGGTCTCACTACGTATCCCAGGCTGGCCTCAAACTCACAGTGACCCTCCTGTTCAGCCTTCCCAGTGATGGGAGGACAGGTATGTGCCACCACACTGGGCTTCCTCACCCTCTTTATAGAAACCTATTACTGTCTCTTACTAGTGAAAATCTTTGCTGACTGTATCATCCTATTGGTCTTATCATTTGGCCTATGCCATACTTAACTGTTTCTTTGGCCTTGTCTCTTCCAGATTAAAACTATGCCTACCCACAATGAGAATGCCTGGCATCTGTCAAGGCCTCCGATAGACCTCTGTGGGGTGACTCTGACTGCCAGCCCCAAGTGTGACCCTCACAGCCTGAAGGACCCCTACAGGACAGTAAGATGACTTCTTCAGAGGGGATACCACAGACAGCTGTTAGGTAGAAAAACTGTATGTAGTCAGACCAGAAGAGGCCCTCAAAAGTCAGTGTGAAAGGTGAGAATTCACTTCAGCCGTGGGGGAGGTGCGTTCGTTAAGAGTGCAGACCTCCATCTGAAAGAGTGACCACAGCGCCACACTCCTGCAGGGATGAACAGCAGTGACTGACACTGGAGACACAGGCATCACCTTGGGTGGGAAGCAAGGAAGGGCCACTAATCCACCCGCTGCGGGAGAAGTCCCTGTTCCATCTGCCTATGCTATGTGACTGCTTCCTTGTGTGCTCTCCATTTAATCAAAACTACCGAAGCGACTATACTTACAATCTCAATGGCTCGCCATAGGTTTGTCCCACCCCATGCACACCCATGTAATTTCCCACTGGATCAATGCTGCCTAAGAAATTAGACTTGTAATCTTAGTAACTGATTACAGTTTACCCCACCTTAGACCTGCCTCGCCTGGTAGTTTTGCTGCTCTATAAAATTCCCTTGAAAAGCAAGGTCCTCAGCAACCCACAGGGAACCCCTTCTGTCTTAGATAGCTTTCTTTCCCCAATAAACATAGCTTTGTTTCCCAAATAAATGGATTCTGCTCTTTAAAAAAAAAATGGGTACAATGAATATAAATCTTACTTCTACCTTCATACTTGGTCTACAGAGGCTAACACTTTACTCAGTTTGACTATCTTCATAGATACTATATCAAAACACAGAGTCATAAACATACATACATGTTCACACACACCCCCAATATCTCACAAACATTTACTCTTTAGAGACTGCTTCACATTAACATGCAGAGTCACTGTGCTCATTTTGTGACTACCTAGAAACCCAATGTACAACTACTGTATTTATATGTAAGGCACTTTGCTCAAATATACCTGCAAGATAACTAGAATGCAACTACCTATACAAATGTTTTAATTTGGCAAACACTTCTAAAGCTGCTACCCATAAACAGGATACACCCAGTTTACTTTTCATTTTTTTCTCAGAAAGAGTCTCTCTATGCACCCCAGGCTGGCCTCAAATTTGTGTGCCATCATGCCTGGCACAAAAATGGCAAAAAGATTGTACAGTATGGCTGGGAATGTAGCTCAGTGGTAGTCCTCTTGCTTAGTACATACAAGGCCTGTTTTGAACCTAGGACAGAAAAAAAAAAAAAATACAAAAACAAAACAAAACCAAATAATAATAAAGAAAAACCTGGGTATGGTAGCAAAAGAGGCTAAGACAGAAAGATCAAAAGCTTAACCCCAGTCTGGGTAACTGAGCAATAGTCTGCCTCAAAATAAAAAATAAAAGAGCTGGGAATGCAGCTCAGTGCAAAGGCCCTTGACTCCAAACTCAGTCTTATAAAAAAGATGGAAGGGTAAAGACAGGGCAAATGGGGAGGAAATCGGAGGAGGGCAAGGGAAAGAGGAGGCAGAAAAAAAGAAGAGCAAAGTGTGACTTCATTTCACGTACTTAAGTGTTCTTTTTCCTGTGGACACTAGACATTTGGGCAGGTGGGAGCAATTTTTAACCTAGTTTTTTTATCTTTATTTTTCATTCTCTCTCTCTCTCTTTTTTTTTTTTCCTTTTTATCGGTACCGGGGATCAAACTCACAACTGCCTGCTTGCAAGGCAGGCGCTTATCCCTGCTGAGCTAAATCCCCAGCCCCTGATTCTCTCTTGTAACAGCAAAATCATGTGGCATGACTGAGATTTTTTTTTTCAATCTGCCTGCCTTTTGATTTGGTTGTTATTTTCTTTCATTCCCATGGAAGGCTCTCCTGTTACCTGTATTACACAGGGATCCACCTATGGTTTTTCTATAGATAGTCTAGATTCACCATTTACACTTAAATACTTAAACTTGTTTGGCACTTTGGTGCGGAAATCCAATTTTATTTTCAAACCAGTTAACTGCAATAAGCCATGGCTTCACCAAAGGTTTGACATGCCACCTTTGTCACACAGGATAAAGGTAGGAAATCTTTTTCTGTGAAGAGGATAGATAACATACACTTTAAAATCTGGTGGCTGCCTTTAGCAGCTACTTAATTCCACTTTGGTGGGCTGAAAGTAGCCAGTTTGGCTAGTTGGCTGATTTCTAAACTAAGCAATTCACAAATCCTAAGTTCCAAATTCAGTTTAGTTGATTCTTTTTCTTTGAGGAATTTAAGGATTATACCCAGAGCCTCATGCATGCTAGGAAAGCACTCTGTCACTGAACTGTATTCCCAGTCCTTTTATATTATTTTTTGAATTTTGAGAGAGAACTTGCCAAATTGATAAGGCTCGCCTCAAATTTGCAGTCCTCCTGCCTCAGCCTCTTGAGTATTGGGCACTTTTTTAACCTAGAATATAAATAGGTGGCACCATGACCACTAACAACTCCAATTTTTAATTTGATACTAGAGGCATATACCAAAAACATAGGCAACATTATATAGGAATTACATGCTTGTACCTAAGAACTATCACTTGTTACTAAGTATGCCGGAAAACTAACACAGGAGACCTATAACTGTTATTAGAAAGATTCATTTGAAGGTTTCCCCTTGCCTGTCATCTGAGAACATGGAATGGTGGCAGGTGCAGGCAAAGAATGACCAAGACACTAACTGCTAAGTTCACCATGTTCAGAACGTGTATACAAACAATGTGGTTCAGGCTCAACATCTGTTACCCTTCACGGAATCTCTGCTTCTGTTACCTGACAGGCAGAAAGTGCCCACATTCTCAGCCTCCAGTGGGATCTCTTAAGAATTTTCCTTGGTAAACATTACTTCGAGTCCAGTAGTCACCCAAGAACGTCCAACACGCTAAGCCCTTTTACTGTGCGTCCCTGTCTTTCACTGCTCCTTGCCAGAAATCAGTCTGGACAACCAACTTTTATCATTAAAATGACCATGCTAGCTGGGTGCGGTTGCACACACTTGTAACCTTAGCACTCTTGGGGCTGAGGCAGACCACCATAAACTGAAGGCCAGCCTGAATTTTATAATAAGACCTGTCTCAAAAAAAATGAATATGTGTTGTCCCTTATAGTGTAGCAAATGAGCATGGGTGGTGAAAATGGACTAAAAGAAAATGGACTGAGGACACAATTTCTGTAGGAGTTTTGTTTTTAAAAATCCAGCTTACACATGCTGTGTTTACAGTATGAAACACAAAAAGTAAGACTTGACCAAATTATGATAGATACATGCAAAATGCCAGAATGAGAAAACACAGAGAGTGTAATTTATTTGTTTTGGTTTGATTTTGTTTTGCAGTATTGAGAATAAAGCCAAGGACCTTGGTCACGCTAAGCAAACACTCTGCCTACTCACAGCCGCAAATAGGGTATTATTAAAAATGTCAACATTCCACCTTCTGTCAACTTTACTCTAATAGAGCTCAGAAAATTCTGCTTAGGGATTTACTAAAGAGTTGTTGCATTCTCCTGCACATCTCTGTCAGGTAGGTGCTATTACTGCTGCTACTAATAACGAATAAATGCAGATATTACACAATACAAAAAAGACTGATCTAACAACTGAAACATCTCAAGATGAGATCCACTTAAGTATTCAAAAGTTGGAGGTGGAGGGAAAAGAGGAAAAAAAAGAATTGAGATGTACATAAACTAATTCCCCACAAAGAAAATAATCTTTATGTACTGCGAATATGTACTAATTTTTTAAAAATGCAAATGGTTTTAAAAAAAAAAAAAAAGTCAACATACTGCCAATGATTTAGCATGTCCTCAGGAGCAAACCAGCACAGAAAATGTGTACTTACCAAAGTGACTGAGGACTGCAGGTTGGGGTGTTGAGGGCTTGAGGTCCCAAGCAGTAGTAGTTGTTGAGGAACTATTCTGCTGTGAGGCTGGGGAGGTGGAAAACTGGCCCAAACTTGGAGCTTTTAGGTCCAAAACCTGGGAGCTGGGAATATTTGCCAATTTTGATGGTGTAAGCTCTCCAAATCCTGAGCCAAGGACAGATGACTTTAAAGAGAAGTGAGAAGACTACTCAGATGTTGATCTCTCCTTCCTCTTAGGCTACACAACCTTTACATCAGTTTGTTTTATCAAATGCATTATTTTGTGGGCTTTAAAATACAATGAACTCACTAACTCAAGCTGCCTTGCCCTAGATAACACTTAGGATAGGGCCTCTCAATACCATCTCACTAGGGCAATGGGAGAGACTCTAAAAATGTGTGTATTAATATGGACACGTGTATGGATACATACACAACACACTGCCCAAGTTCCAACCTTACATATATTACAATTTGTTTTGTGGAGGCACAATCTTACTGTTATCATTTTTTTTCATAATAGTTGTCATATATTACTTTCCCCAAAGCAGTAGATAGGAACCACTGCTTTCACATAATTGTGTTGATCATGACATAAAACATAGCCAGGTGACTGAAAACTCAAGCTCTACCTATGAACTCAGTGACCAAGTCAAGATTCTGGCAAGAACAGCCTTAACTGTACCCTGCTAAATGGAACTGCAGAGAGAAAAGGACACCGGTCCAGACATGGAAGTATGCATAAGGAATGCCAGATACTTGAGAACAGGAAGCTTTCAAGCTCAAGGCCAACCGGGGAAACTCAGACCCTGCTTCAAACATAAAAAGGGCTGAGACTTAGTTAAGCATGTGTGAGATTTGTGGTTTAATCTCCAATGCTGCCCCAAAATTAACTCTTTCCTTTTTTTCTTCTTTGTAAAAGACAAGGTCTCACTATATAGTCCAGGCTGGCCTCAAAGCGATCCTCATGCTTCAGTTTCCCAAATGCTGGGAGTACAGACACATGCCACCACGCCCAGCCAAAATCAACATTTTAGATACCCGGAAACTTCAAAACAAAATCCAAGAAAAAATTACTAATAAGGATGCTTTCAATCTGATTACTAGTTGAAAGTAATTGTTATAATAAAGAAATATTTTCATCTTCATCCAGGAAACTCAGTAGTTAAATTCCACACAGAATCATCAGATATGTGCTTGGAAATTATCACATCATTGTTCTCTGGACTCAGATCTACTGTACAGATGTCAGCATTATTTGTGAGAAAATAATGGTAAGGCACGTGTCATCTTCTACACTACCACTACTAATGAGCATAATATTTTTGTTTGTTTGTTTGGTTTTTTGTGCCAGGAATTGAACTCACAACCTCACGCTTGCCAGCCAGGTGCTGTGCCAATGAGCTATACTGCTGACTCAAGAGTATGCCTTAAAATCCCACATGAAGTGAAAATGAGTTACCAGGCGTTGAGGAGAGTACGAATTGGGAGCAGGGGAGCTGCTGGGCCCCGGCGCCATCTGACTATTGTGTTGAGAATTTGTAAAGACAAGGGCCTGGCCAAAGCCCTGCTGTTGGCAGGTTTCAAAGGAGCTGACTTCTGACACTTGACTTGGAGGAACAGGCTTCTGTAGCAAGGATACTAGGTCAATGCTAGGTAAACAAAAAGCAAATGAAAGAACAAGTCATAAGCAAATTTTGCCAACAAACAAATTTAAGAAGGGGGCCAATACAAATTGAAACTAGAAATTATCTAAGTAGCAGAACACAGACACTGAATGAGTGATTCTGATTTTTGAGACAAGGTCTCACTGTGTAGTTCAGGTTGGCCTCCCATTCTTGGCAATCCTCCTGCAGCACTCAGCCTCCCGACTAGTGGGATTACAGGTTTACATCACCATACCTGACTTGAACATGGAGTTTTAAAGGTTCTAAAGTCAAGAGTTGAAAGCATGGCTTTCAAGAAAAGATAAACAAAAAATATATGGAGAAATATTCACAGATATGACATGATGACTGGTGGGGGAAAAAACTGGAGATTTAATCTTCTGAAATTAAATGAAAAAAATGAAAATGTCCCTAGAAAAATCACGGAGTCAAAAAAACTATGAACAGTCTAGCATGGTGGCCCATCCCTGTAATCCCAGCTCTCAAGAAGGCTGAGGCAGGAGGATAGCTTCAGGTTTGAAGCCAACCTGGACTATACTGTCTCAAACAAACAAAAAAAGAACCAGGAATTTAGTGCCCCATCCAACCCAGAAGACAAACAGTGGAAGATGAGTGGTACCTTCAAAGAAAGGTAAATAGGGCAGATGCCTCCTCCAAAAAAAAGTGAGGAAAAAGAGATGTGCAGTGAACAAGAAATTCCGCACAATACACACAATATACTGTGAGATAAAACTGCTAAGCCTATTTCCCTGAAATAAAGTTCTATAATTCTCATACAGCATGCAGTGGGCTCTTCTAACAGGCTTTCATCATTCAGGTCATGACATTTTGAAGTCACTTACAAGTGTTTAGAATCACTGTGAAAACTACGTAAATAAAGTCCTTCAGGAATTCAGTTCAGTATACACTATAAGAACATTACCCCTTGCTTTTCTGTAATCTAGGAGGTTAAACTAAAGACTTCTCACCTAAAATAAGAAGTCTGTGTGGAACTGGAAAAGATCTAAACAAATACTACTATATGAAGGAAGCAAAGGATGACTAATATTCAGTCAAAAAGTAATAGATTTACAGAAACAGAACCATATAATAGGTTACCATAACCTTTGCCACAACTGCTGACAATCACTGTTATTTTAATTCATCAGTGGATACAATTAGATTAGTTCACAAGGCAGAGGTTAAAGTGTTTTAAATGAAGAGAGAAAAATAGACACAATCCAAAAATGAAAACAGGTGTCCTAAACCCAAGGTTTCAAGTATGCTCTGAAAAAGAAAGAAAAGAAGGCCAAAGTGTTTACCTTTGCCTAGGCGTGACATCATTCTCTGCTGGAACACATGAGGCAGTAAAGACTTTTGTTTCAGAAAGCTGCAGGGCAAGTTTTTAAAAAACAGTTTCAATCTTGTTCTGTATAATTTAAAACCAAATACTGAATATTCTTGATGATTTTTAGCCATTGGTCTTTTCTCACCTAAAGCAGTGATGATGAACATTTTGGAGCTTTCAAGGATAACAGAAACGTGGTAATGCACACCTATAATTCCAGCACTCAGGAGGCTGAGGCAGGAAGATCAGTTTAAGCGCAACCTGGACACTACATAGTGAGACCAGGCCAGCCTGAATTACACAGCAAGACCCTGTCTCAAGGAACAGAGGGACGGAGGGAGGGAAAGAGGGAGGCAGCCAGTTGCAGTATGCATGCCACAGATTCGCCACCCCTAGCTAAAGACTGTTCAATCACTTAAGTTTATCCTGGTGTCACTTGGGCAGCATATTTGTTTACATACTGATTATCCCAAGGATCATCAGGTAAGTGTCATTTCAGCCAATTAACTCTTTTGTTTAATTGGATAAAATTATCATTTTATACTTCCTGTTGCGTTATCCTATAAAATAATGAAAAATATGCAATTTTTGAACTGGACTGATAAGTAGTTAAAGGAAAGGAAATAAACAAGAAACCATGACAAGTAATTTTCTTCAACTGAAGGTAATCTTCAATCAATAAGCCTTACAAATTACTTCACTTCAGGAAATGAAAAAAAAAAAAAAAAAAAAGAAAAAACGATGGGAGGTTACGTGGCTCAGTGATAAGAGTTCTGGCTTTGCATGCACAAGGCCCAGGGTTCAATCCCCAGCACCACCAAAAAAAAAAAAAGAAAGAAAGAAATGACACAATGTGATAGATAAAGTCCAACTAGCTTCAAATTCAGCCTCGCTGCTCGCTAGCTATCACTTGTGTGGTGACTCTTTAGGCTATCACATGAAATATAAAATATAAAATGTCAGTATTACCAAAAGAAGTCAAGAAAGAATAAAGAAGTTTGAAAAATGAAATAGTTGATGTTTCCTTTCCCTAAAATACAATAAGTATTTTGTACTTGATTAATTTGTATTTTGCTAAGTCACAGGCTTCCTTTTTAAAGAAAAATTAATTTCACTGAGGTATAGCATATACAATAGACCAAATATTCAAAAATAAGTTTTGGTATATGCAAGACTCCCATGAAACCGTCACCATAACCAGGACAATAAACACCTTCCTTGCTGCAGAGTCCCCTGGCCCTGACTCCTGCTTGCATCCAAAGGCAATCACTGACTTGTAGGCCTTCTTTATCCTGTCCTTTTTTGGCCCGGAAGATTGAATTCAGGGCCTTCACAGTGAGCTACGTTCATGGCTGTGTTTTTCTTTAATTCTGAGACACAGTTCAGCTAACAGACACCCTCAGGCTGTTTTTATTTTCTGACCCTTCTGACTCAGCCTCGAAGCATGCACCACCAGACCTGGCTCTGACCTAACACTCCAGATTAGGATGCATTTTCTAGTTTTAGATGAAAAACAATTTTTAAGAGCCGGGCGTGGTAGCTCATGACTGTAATCCCAGCACTAGGGAGGCTGAGGTGGGAGGATCCTTGCGAGTTGGAGGCCACCCTGGGCTACAAAGTGAGCTCAAGGCCAGCCTGAACTGTATAGGGAGACCCCATCTCAAAAAAGACAAAAAAATTTTTTCAACAAAACTAACTACTGAAATTAAAACTTTTGTGCCTCTAAACCAAGAAAATGAAGACAAGCTACAGACTCAATAAAATATTGGCAAATTACAACTCTGATGAGATATATCTAGAATATGCAAAAATACTTCTAATTGAGTAATAAAAATACAACTCAATGTTGAAAAGGCAAAAGATCAATAGACATTTCTCTAAGGAAGATATACAAATGATTAATAAACAGATACAAAGAGGCCTAATATTATTAGTAAGAACTCAGGAAAAATATAGTCATTATCACAATGAGGTACTATTTCACACTCAGTATGACTAGGTGGGGGGCTCTCCCTCATCTCCTCTTACCCCTCCCCACCTTGACTGCTGCTTTTGCTGTTTTCCACCCCTATGAACAATTAGTTGCCCCTCTGCCATATGCCACTCTGCCTTGGAGCCAGCAAATTATGGACTGAAACCTTTACAAACTGTGAGCTACATAAACCTTTACCCCATTAAAAAAAAAAAAAAAGATTGTAACAAGTGCCACACAGATGTGTAGGTGAGAATGTACATGGCGAGTCGCTTTGATAAGAGCTGGCAGTTACTCCAAAAAGATAAATACAGAGATATAGCATGACCCAGCAATTTCACTCAAAGATATATATCCAAGATAAATGAGAAAAAAATGCCCATAAAGAAACTTGTACACAAGGGGCTGGGGTTTAGCTCAGTGACATAAGCACCTGTCTGGGACATGTGAGGTTGAGTTCGATTTCCGGTACCCCCCACAAAAAAAGAGAATAAAAAAAGGAAAAAAAAACCTTATATACAAATGTTTACATATATATTTTTTGATACAGTATTTTTAAATTTATGATTTAAAATTTATAGTTTTATTTATAATTTAATATTTTAATTTTAACGGTACATTTTAGGTATACATAATGATCAGATTTATTATATGGAATTTGTACCTGTACATGATATATCTTGATGCTTTCTTCTCCAATCCCCTCCTCACCCTTTAACCACTCTTCCCCTCCTTATTTACAAACATTTTGTTCCCATTTTTTTCCTTCTCTTTTTCTAGATGAAATTTTTTTGTTTTTTGTTTTTTTGGTACTGTGAACTGAACTTACAACCTCACCTGCCAGGCAGGTGCTATGGTACTGAGATATATCCCCAGCTCTAGATAAAAAAAAATATTAAAGTTTATACCTTTTTACCTGGATTCTCTCACTCAGTGTAATTATTTCAAGATTTGTGCATATTTTTAACTCAATTTTAGGGAACTCAGAATAAATGTTTTGAAACCTTATCTGACAATAATGAAAACTACACTTTTTAATATTTGCAATGTAAGAGTGGGCTTGGAAAAAAAGCTAGATAATGTTCTAATGAAAAACATGGAAAACTGATAAAAGTAGTATTCAAAGATTCCTTAATTCTGATTAACCCTAAACATCTCAGAATGCTGAAACACCCTATGAAGGCTTGCTGAGACATTAACACACAGCCAGAGCCACATAAGGAAACAAGTGCTAAATTAACTACCAATTCAACAAGTCTCTACACTGCACCCTGTTCCAAGGTATTACTTATGAAGAGTCCCAATGAATCCATTTTTGCCTTAAAGAAACTTCCCAATTTAATAAAGACAAAATGAAATGAAAAGGAGGAAGAGAATATATTTAAAGCTTTATTTACATAAGAAGCTTGAGTAAACAGGATAGAAACTGGCTAGGGTAGGAGAGAATGTCTCACACTTTCCCCCAAGCACTGGCGGCAATATAAACACTAACGGATCTGACTCAACGGGAGACACTTACATCTTCCGTCCAGTCTTCTGTTGTCCACTCCTCCACAGAATTTTTCCAGGCACCTGTTTGGAAGACCATAATCAAACTGTATAGCAGAAAATCAAACATCATGTTATTCCTAAATTCCCTATTATTTACTATGCAGTACAAAATATACAAAATGCTTTTAAAATGAAACAAAATAGAGCAAATCAATGTCTCAAAATGATTTTAACTCAAAGTTACTATCTAAGCACTTAAAATATAGACACACTACAAATTAACAGGTAACGATGGGCTAATCCTTTATGATATGTATTATTTTAACTGGAAAATACTAATTTTAAGAAAACTGTGCCCTAAACCTTTTTTTCTAGTGGATTATTGAATTATCAAATTTAGAGAGGCACGGCTGGGGCATTAGCTCAGTGACACACACACAAGTGTCTGCCTTGCAAGCACAAGGTCGTAAATTTAGTCTCTGAAACCGAAAAAAATTTAGAGGCAACCTTCTTATGAAATATCCACTCCACTAAGTAGTTTGCTCTTAGGTCTCCAACATAATTGACATTACTCCTCCTTCTCACATCAAATCTCCTTACTGTATGTTCAGAGCAGCAGCAGAGTTAAGTATTCAAGTGTAATTCAATTAGTCTATCACCCATACAACATCTAACTGTGTTGAAAAAAAAAAATGCTGGTGTTCAAATAATGTTAACAGTTCTTGCAGATCATGTGTAACAATGGCCCTTTGTATTAAAAGTACCCTGGAGAGGCCAGCGTGGTAGCTCATACCTGTCATCCCAACACTCGGGAGGTGGGATGATCCTTGCGAGTTTGAGACCAGCCTGGGCTACAAAGTGAGCTCAAGGCCAGCCTGAACTGCATAGCGAAATCCTGCCTCAAAAAAGACAAAAAAAAAAGTACCCTGGAAACTGATACTCGGAGACAATGCTTTTGAAGGCTTACTGGGGTATTAAATATAATCATCCCAGAGAGTGGTACTGTGCAAGTTTTCAGTTCCTTTATGGTAAGAAAGGAGTTAAGCCTCTGACATGAAATATCTCTTTTATAAAAAGCTTCTATGTGGGGAATAAAAACAATCTGGGGGATAAGGGGAAGCAAGCAGATGACCAGGTCTAACTTCCATGGAATCAGGCAAATAATCTAACAGCCAATCTAATAAATTAAATTATTGCTGTTTCCTAGGAATACCTATGGAATACTTCTAACAGACTGAGGACTGATGATATCAAACAATCACAGAATTCATGCTTTTGTGGTGCACAGTTCCCTATAAAATGTTACTTTATGAATATAAAATGGAAATGATTCAAAATCAAGAACATTTCCCAGTATGGAGAAACCTACAAGTATAACTTAGAAACCTCATCATTAGTTGGGTGCAGTGGTTCACACCTGCAATACTAATACCTGGGAGTGAGTCTGAATCAGAAGGACCACAAGTTAGATCTCAACATGGGCAATTTAGGAAGACTCTAATGTCAAAGTAAAACAATTTTAAAAAGCCAGGTACACTCATGCGCACCTATAATCCCAACACTCAGCAGGCTGAGGCAGGAGTCACTGCTAAGTTTGAAGCCTGGCTGAACTACAGAGCAAGATTCTGCATCAAATAACCAAAAATTGTTGAGGAGGCTATAGGGAAAATGGGACACTGTGGAAATCAGTATGGAAATTCCTCAAAAAACTAGTATTGGAAGTTCCATTCAATTCAACTATTCACCTCCTGCGTATTTTCCCAGAAAAATTGAAAACGTCATGTCACAGTGACCTACGTGCACCCATGTTCATAGCAGCACAATTTGTAATAGCTAAATCTTGGAAACAATAAAAATGCCCAGCAACTGTAGAATGAATGAAAAAGATGTGGTATTTCATACAATGGAATATTATTCAACTATAAAAACGATGATCTTGAGGTTTTTAAAGGTAAAAGGAGGCAACTTGAGACTACCCTCATAAGTGAAATAAATCAGACTCAGATGTGTAAATATCATATTATCTCTCTAGTATAAAAAATAATAAACTGAAAGAGTATAAGATGCAAAATGTACAATAGATATTGTAATAATCAAAGGGAAAGAAAGTGTTCTAAAGTATACAAGTGTGAAAGATAACCATACTACTTTTTGTTAGTTCAAACAGAATGGTCTGTACTGCCATTAAGTCCATTTTTTATGCTTTGATTTTGTAACATGAATTCTAGGTATGTACATTATGTAATTTATCAACTAGTGATTTCTTACTTTTAGACTAGTAATTTCTTATTTTTTTTTAAATTCTGTATTATTTGTACCCTTTTTTTATTTTGCAGTTTTTCGCTAAAAAAAAAAAAAAAAAAACCAAAGTATTTTCTTATTTTTCATTTTACAGTGGTAGGGACTAAGACCAACCAGGGTCTTTGCACACTATTACCCTTCACCTTTCATAGTTTTCTCAATTTTGAGATCAGGGTCTCTCTCTTTTTTGTTTTTTAAGACAGGTCCTCACTATGTGGTTCAGGCTGGCCTTAGAATTGTGATGATTCTCTTGCCTCAGTCTCCCCAATATTAGGTTTACCCCATGCCCAGCTAGGATTTTAAAGGCATAAGTAAAGTGGCAGTTTAAATGAAAAATACAAAATGCAACTATCCTGGTAGGAAGTCAGTAAGTCAGTAGTGGATGCTCTGTTCTCTTGGCTCTGCACAAGCCTCTGAACACATACTGTGCCAAGAAGTCAAATGAATCTGAGATGAGCCACCCACCACCCAGACTTCACTCGCATCCTTTTACAATAGAACTGTAAGCACCAAAACAGAACCTGCAGCCATTTTTTTTTTTTTTTTAACAGTACTGAGGACTGAACTCACAACCTTGCACTGAACTACATTCCCAGGCCTTTTTACTGTGAAAGAAGTTCTCAAGTTGCTAATACGCTCAGGCTAACCTCAGCTTGTGATCCTTCTACTCAAGACTCTCAGAGTGTGGTTACAACACATGCATGCACTACCATAACTGGGCTCAGACAACTGAGGGGCTGGGTTGGATGCTCTCTCAAAAACTAAACAGATTGGGGCTGGGGATTTAGCTCAGCGGCATAAGCACCTGGTGTGCAAGCAGGTGGTTGTGAATTCGATCCCCGGTTCTGATAAAAAGGAAAAAGACAAAAAAAAACTAAACAGATGCTGGGGGTCAATCCCCAGCTTTGCGGCGAGAGGGAGAACAAAAGAGGAAAGGAGAAAACGAGGAAGGTGGATAGAATAGAGGAGGCGGGAAAAGTGGGGTGGGGGAAGAGACAGAGCAAAAGGGCATTTCAAAAGATTCTTTTAAAATTGTCTGTGTTGAGGTTGTTTGTTTGTTTGTTTGTTTGTTTTGTGGTGCTGGGGATCAAAAACAGGACCTCACACACAGTAGAAAAAGTGTCTGATTCACACTGTTACAGACTCAAGCCTGAAAGACTTTTTTGTTTTTTAGAGACAGGGTCTCGCAGTTAAGGCTGGCCTTAAGTTCACTTTGTAGCCCAGGCTGGTCTCAAACTTGCCACGATCCTCCTACCTCAGCCTCCCTAGTGCTGGGATTACAGGCATGTGCCACCACACCTGGCTATAAAATTTCTAAGTAAATTTTTAAAAGAAACATTTCATACCTTTAACTCCATAGGAACTTTTGTTTGGCAGATCTGGGGTTGTGTTGTGACCATGTATTGCCAGTTCTGTGGATCAATATAAAATGGAAATTTTTAACATAACAAAACAATGAAAGCAATCATAAGAGCAACTGAATTGCACATAAAAGAAAGTGTCAAAACTAAGTACAGTAGACCCCATCTGTAGTTTCAATTTCTGTGGTCAAACAAATTCTAAAAATATTAAATGGAAAATTCCACAGCCGGGCGAGGTGGCTCACACATGTAAACCCAGCACTCAGGAGGCTGAGGCAGAAGGATTGTTGCAAGTTCGAGATCAGCCTGGACTACAAAATGACCTTAAGGCCAGCCTGAACTGTACAGTAAGACCCTGTCTTAAAAAGACAAAAAAAGAAAAAGAAAAAAGAAAGAAAGAAAATTCAACATAAACAAGTAGAATCTACATATTCACATAACTGGATTTTTTGTTTCTGGGTGGGGGGAGGGTTGGACTTTTTGAGATGGGCTTCACGTTGGCTTGAAACTCAGTGGTCTTCTTGCCTTTTTTTTTTTTTGGTGGTACTGCGATTGAACTCACAACCTTGCACTTGTCAGGCAGGCGCTTATGTGCTGAGCTAAATCCCCAGCCCCGGTCCTCTTGCTTTAGCCTCCTGAATGCTGGGATTACAGGAATGTGCCACCACCACCAGCTCACTTAACTTGTTAAATGGCATACTAACTTATTATTAGCTGTCATTATCAATCCTTTATTGTATCTAGTTTGTAAATTAAATTTCATCATAGGTATATACGAGCAAAAGCTATGCATGTGTGCACACGTGCATGCGCGCGCGCGCGCGCACACACACACACACACACACACACACACACACACACACACACAAACACACACATGACAAGATTTGATACTCTCTGCAGATCTCCAGTTTCAGGCCTTCACTGAAAGTCTTGGAACACATCCCTCACAGACAAGGTGGTGTCCGACTGTGGTGCTGACAAACTGTTGAAGGATAGAGAAACTTGCTACAGTCTACACTGTGATAGGACACCATGGCTCTAGCAATGCTGCCTTGTGCTGATGTCTCCTGACCACGCAAGTTACACCATCTATCACTGTTCTCAATGACCATATGAACCAGACTTCCTTCCTGTCTGAGTTTTCCAATCATGCAGGGCATCTTTTTGAGACAGGGTCTCACTATGCAGTTCAGGCTGGCCATGAGCTCATTTTGTAGCCCAGGCTGGTCTCAAATACATAATGATCTTCCTGCCTCAGCCTCCTAAGTGCTGGGATTATAAGCGTGAGCCACCACGCCAGGGATGTTTTCCAATTTTCTGACAGGTTTTTTGTTTTTGTTTTTTAGCAAGTTTAGATATTCACATTTATAAATTAAGATTACATACCGGTTTTTCCAGCTTGATTAATGTTTTCCTTGTAGCAATAACAGATTCCTGATTATTCTACTGTCAAAAGTCAGATTTCTGAGCCTATATACAGGGCTAGGTAAGGACTGATCTCAGAAATCCACCTCATAAACAAGACAGTATTGAGACCTCTGAAGAAACAGCCAGTACTCCACCCACTAAGACATACCCTTCAACTGTGTTTAAAACAAATTCATTTTGTTAAATAAAAGTTACTCACCAAAAAATCTATTCTAACAAGACCAAGGCAAAGGAGTGGAATAAATTGAAAAGAAGAAAAAAGAGGAAAAGCATGAGCGGGCACAGCTAAACTGCTAAGTAACTAAACATTCTATTCCAGCACCCTTTTCTCTTTTCTTTTTCTTTCTTTCAGATAGGGTCTTGCTGTGTAGTTCAAGCTGTTCTTAAACTCATTATGTATCCCAGATTGGGCTCAAGCTCATGGCAATCTTCCTGCCTCAGCTTCCTGAGTACAGGGACTACAGATGTATGCCGCCTCACCTGGTTTCCTTAATTCTGTCATATCAGGGAGGAAAAAGCCACTATAAATATCGCATATGGGCCAGCTGTGATGGTACAAACCAGCCTGAACTACATAGCAAGACCTGGTCTCGAAAGGAGAGAGGGGAGGGAAACAGGAGAGAGAAGAGATCAAACGTGTTTTCATTCCATTTTCATTAAAACCTAGGGCTAGGAGTATAAGGATGTAAGATGAAGGTGCATTTTCCCCTCAGACACAGAGATAGGGGGATGGAAGGATGGATGGATGGATGGATGGATGGATAGATGGATAGAGATCCAGTTATTCCACAGTCTTCACTAGCAACTTGATATTTCTTTTAAAGCTATTTTAATACAAGAATGAGAGTAACTTATTCCTTGTATTTCCCTGATGAGTACTTGTATTTGTCTGATAACTGATGAATATGTTTTTGGGGGCTCATTTACCATTTTAAGTGTATAACTCAGCTGTGTATTCACAATGCTGGTTGAAAACCATTACCACTATCAATTTCCAAAAATTTTTCCCTTTTTTGCTCATTTTTAACTCTTCTTTGGGGGGGATTTTATTAATTACTACGTTGGGCTATTTCTTTATTTCCAAATTCATTCATTATCAAGTATGGACTTTGTAAATATCTTCTCACTGACCACAGCTTGCCCCTTCACTTAATTATTCTTACTCCCTCCCTCTGCCCTCTCCCTCTCTTTTTCTTTACAAATTAGAGTTTATATTGGAAATAAGAATAGCTCCTGGATTTTCAGGAGGGATCCCAAACAGAGTAAGCACATGGTCCCCTGATCCAGAACTAATTATAGATAAACAGAGCACAGGAATTACATGTGTAGTGGCCACCTAATCAGAGGTGGCTGTTTTATTTTCTTTAGAAGAACATAATTTTAAATGTTTGATAAAATCCAGTGTGTCAAAATTTTCATCATGACTCAAGTTTATTGACATCTAAATTAAAAAAAGTCTTTGTCAAAGCTCAAATCATTAAGATTTCCACTGTATGAAAGGGAAAAAGAAAAGTTAAATACATAAATACACACACACACACACACACACAAAGATAGTTACACTACTGCTATTAGTTCATTGTTTGATCAATTTTTCATGCCTGTATAAGTACTTTGAAGATAACAATACACAATGTACTAACTATTGTTAGTACCCTCCTACAATCTCATTTGAAATTTTGTGCCATTGTTTTTTGTTGTTGTTCTTGTTTTTCCAGTACAGGAATCAAACTCACGACTGCACACTTGCAAGGTAAGTACTTATGCCGCTGAGCTAAATTCCCTGCCCCTGTACCATTGTTTTTATTGGGGTTTTTTTCCTTTAAAACAAAACAAAAAAAAAAAAAAAAAAAGACTTGCAATGTATTTCCATTGTGAGTTTCATATTTAGGTCTATTATGTACTTAAGAGTTAATTCTTTTATACATAATATAGCACCAAATTGCCTTAAAACTTCTGCTAAAATCAATTAGACATACATGAGTATGTTTGCTTCTGGACTCAGTTGTTGATCTGTATGTCTCTATTTTAGCAATTGCATAATGTTCTGATTAACTTTTAGAGTAGGTTCTTAAGACCAAGAAATATGAATTTGAACTTTGTTATTTTTACAGTTATTTTGGTTAGCCAAATGTGGTGGTCCATCCCTATAATCCTCACAGTATTCAGAAGGCTGAGGCAAGAGGACTTCTTCATGTCTGATGCCAGCCTGGGCTACATATTTCAAAGCCAAACCAGACTACATGATTGAGACGCTGTCTCAAAAAACGAAAAAATTGTATTCATAATCACAAAATCTTGGCTATTACAGTACCCTCCCTTTTCAAAAAAATTTTAGAATTTTGATTGGAATTATGCTCAAGGTATAGATAAATCTGAGGAGAAACAAAATTTCAACAATACTGACTACTTCAATGAATAACAAAGAACATATCCCACTTTTGGGGGGTTTTCTTTGATTTTTCTAGCGATGCCATTAATTTTTAATACATAAATCTTAGACAGATATTAACAGATTTTGTCTCTCTTTTGCAAGACTGGGGTTAAACCCAGAGCCTCATATAAACAAAGCATTCACCCTACCACTGAACTACAGTCCAAACCCAACATGTTTTTTGTACTACCATAAAAGATTCTATTTTTTTAATTCATTATTTGAATTTGCAAATATTTACTGATGATATAAAATAACATTTCAATTTGAAAGGTGGCTATGGTTCTTTCTTTTGTAATAATGGGGATGGAACCCAAGGTATCTCACTGAGCTACATTCCCCCATCCTTTCATTTGATAGGGTGGGATCTACACTTGCAATCCTCCTGCCTCACCTTCCCAAAGAGATGAGATTACAGGCATGCAGCATTGTGTCTAGCTGGTGGTTACAATTCTATATACATTTAATACATATACTTGTGTTTCTAAGAAAGAGTAAATTCCATCATATGTAAGTTAGCCAACAAATTTTTAAAAAGACATCAGTGGAGAGACTTTTCACATGACAGACCATTAGAGATTAATAAATTCAAAGACACTTAGTTTAGACTAAAGTTTACAGGGGCTAAGGATATAGCTCAGTAACAGAATCCTTACACAGCATGCATAAGGCCCTGGTTTCAATCCCCATCACTAAGGTTTACAATAATGAGACTTGGCATGCCTGTAATCCCAGCGACTTAACATGCTGAGGAAAATTTCAAGGTCTGTTTGGACAACTTAGTGAGATCCTTTTTTAAAATAAAAATGAAAAGCCAATGGCAGTGCACACACCTGTACTCCCAGCACTTTGGAGGCTGAGGCAGGAGGATCACAAGTACAAGTCCCACCTGAGCAACATGGCCAGACCCTGTCTCAAAATAAAAAACAAAAATAAGGGTTGATGATGATCTCAGTGGTAGAGTGCTTCACTAGTATGTGCGGGCCCTGCCACGCCCTCCCCACCAAAATAAACTAAAATCCCTTTGCTAATACTGTCTTACATTTTTTCTAGGCAAAGTCTGTTGATCTTACATATATTCAGGTTCACTTGTTTTATGAAGTCATTATCAATTTTGTTTACCATTTTCTGTTTGATGAGTTACAGAAATACATCTGGCTGAGCATAGTAGGTACACACTTGTAATCCCGGCACTCAGGAAGCTGAAGCAGAAAGATTTCAAGATCGAGTCCGGCCTGGGCTACATAAGCAAGTTAAGGACAGCCTGCACTACATAGTGAGACCCTGCCTCAAAACAAAACAGGTATGCACCAGTGCTGCCCCCGACTGACGCATTTTGAAATTTTGTTGTAGCATTCTTTCTTTATATCCTAGAATAAAATGGACTTGAAAAAACAAAACAACACAAACCAGTTGTGGTACTTCATACTTCGTACCATGTTTACTCCCTCACTATTCTATCATCAGTATACAGAGCAATGAAAGGCTTTTTTCCCTATGCCTTCTCATCGCTACTTGCACTTTTGCAGTCTAAACCTATTACGGCTTATATTTGAAGTGTACCCCAAAGTCCCACACACTCAAGTAGGGCTTTTAAGAGTTGGCTGGATCAGCCTGTGATAACTGGACCAGACCACTGACTAACTTAGTTATAGACAGTAGGATTACTAAAGAGGGAAGCCACACCCTGGGTGTGGGTAGTACCAACCAAATATTGGCTTATAGACCTGATGAAATATAAAAACAAAGGAGCTGGGCATGGTGGCACACACCTGTGATCCCTGTAGGGAGGCTGACACATGAGGACTGCTGCAAGTTTCAAGCCAGCCTAGGCTCCATTAGTGAGTTCAAGGTCAACTGGAACATAGAGTCTCAGAAAACCAAAAACAAACAAACAAAAAACAATAAACAGAAGGAAAGAATAAAGGCAGGCTTGTGCTTCCTGTTTGCCATCCCATGAACTGTTTTTCCTTTCCTACGCCACCCTACCTTAGAGCCAGCCTGCTGTGGACTGAAACTTCTACAAACCGTGAACTAAAATAAAACCTTTCATCTTTTACTTGTGGGTGTTGGGTATTTTGTCTCAGCAACAAAAAAGTAATCAAAATAAAACAGAGCTCCAATACAGTAACATTCAAAAGCAGTAAAATCAAACACTTCTTTCTCCTCCTGAGTACTCAAGATTTAACTGGGGGGGGGCCTTCACAATAAAATACATACCCATTCCTTTTCATTTTCTATTTTAAGGCAGGTCACACTAAGTCACGAAACTCTAACTAGATTTGAACTTTCAATGCTTTTGCCACAGCCTCCCAGAGTGCTTGATTATTCTGGGTTAAGACTGGGTAGGTCTCACTGTGTAGGTCTGGTTGGCTTTGAAGTCACTACATAGTCCAGGCTAACCTTGAACTCATCTTCCTGCCTCACCTTCCCAAGTGCTGGGATTTCAGGCATGTGCCACCATGCCCAGCTAGAGTGCTAGAATTGTAGGTATACACCACCACACCCTGCTAAGACAAAGAACTTTTATTTTGTTCTGGAAGGAAAACATTCAACATAACTCCATTAACAGTAATAAATGGCCAAATTTAGTAGATATGCTTTATCTGCTTATGAAAATTTCCGTGCACTGCAGGAAACTTTCTTTTTAAAAATTCATGAATGGATGTTTAATTTTGCCAAATGCTTTTCCTTAGTAAAATGCTAAGATGAATTTTCTTCTTAATTCTGTCAAGTGGGCCGGGTGTAGTGGGGTCACACCTATAATCCCAGCACTCAGGAAGCTGAGATACTAGGATTGCTATAAATTCAAGGCCAGCCTGGGGTACACAGTCAGTTCAAGACCAACCTGAACTACACAGTGAGGCGCTATCTGGAAAAAAGAAATAGCTGTCAAGGAGATAAAAATAGTCATGTGTTTCTACTCACAGTATCTGTAACTGTGTGTACATGTGCATGTGTGTGTGTGATACTGGATGGTGAGCCAGAGCCTTTACATTGAGTCACATCCCCAATCCGTTTTTAGTTTATACTATGAGGCAGAGCCTTCCTAAACTGTCGAGGCGAGACTCAAATTCAGAGAGTACACATATGTATTTGAACCATACCCAGCTCAAATTCCACTTTTAGAAGTATAAAACTAAATAGTTTTTAGTATAATGGCAATATTTTTAAACATCAGAACAGTCTCCTCACTCTTAAAATAAATTTGAATCTGGGCATGGTGGTACACAACTGTAATTCCAACACTAGGAGGCTGACACAGGAGGATCACTATAAATTAGAGGCCAGCCCGGGCTACAAGGTGAGGTCAAGGCCAGTCTGAACTGTATCATGGGACCCTATCTCAAAAAGACTAAATAAACACACCAATACATTACTTCCTATTATCATCAAGTTTTCCCCACCCGAGGTAGCTGAGAATCTATTTTCTGTTTTTACGGGTTTGCCCAATCTGAACATTCAAACTCACTGAGTCACAAAATACAAAATGTGATCTTTTGTAACTGACAGCAAATTATTTTATTTAGCACATGTGATCTATGGTTGATTCATAACGTAAGATACAGCCTTCATTTTTTAATGATTAAACAATATCCTTTTAAATAATCCTTCTTTCAATTACTAATCCACTGTCAATGGATTATTCTTACTTTTTGATAATTATAAATTGTACTGCTGTAAACATTTCTATATAATGTTTTAATAGAACCTATGCCCTTCCAGTCTCTTGGGTTTGTATCTATAAATTGACAGATTTTTAAAGCCTAAATAAATTTGAATATCAAGAATAAATTTAGTATGGCCATGATATATTAGAATTTTTCCATCTTACTAGACTCTATTTTGTAATATTTTAGTTTAAGATTTTACCAAGAGTGAGATAAGACTAACCTCAAAGTGGCTGTTACAAATCATGCATGGTGGTGCACATCTATAATCCCAGCACTTAGACAAGCCTGGGCTGCAAAGTGAACTCAAGGCAGCCTGAACAACATAGTGAGACCTTGTATCAAAAAGACAAACAAACAACAACAGAAACAAATTTGTTGTCACACATAGTATACTGCTTTTTTCTGGGGGCCTGCAGGAGGATTTGCTGGGGATGACACCCAAGGCCTTCCATGTTAGGCAAATGCTAACCTGGATAACAAAATTTATTGATAAAGTATATTCTTATAATCTTCTAATATCTACCCACCTCTATATCAAAGATTTATTTTCTCACTCCTAAACCACTTTTATTTTGTTGTTTTGTACTGGGAATTGAACCCAGGGCTTCATATGGAATTGCATTCCTAGACCTTCTTATTTTGAGACAGTCCTAAACCACTAAATTGCCCAGGCTAGGCTGAAATTTGCCTCATGCCTCAGCCCCTCAGAATGCTGGGATTATATACCCATGCACTACAGTGGGTATAATACTATGGGTTTGGGCTTCCTAAAACCAATTACTTAAGCTTCTTCACTTTCCGGTTACAAATCTCACAAAAAAAATCGATTTTATTAGTGTCTTCAAACAATTACATATTTTTATTAATGCTCTGTATAGTATATCTATTTCTAGTACAATAATTGTACACCTGGGATAGTGGCTCTGTTTTACTTTTGGGCCAAAATTTATGTTACAGATGTTTAGTTTTTGACAATTTATTGAGCTACATTTTTGTAGCCTGGGTTATAGTTCATTTTTGTTTTATTTTTTGAGACAGTTTTTGTTTTGTTTTTTGAGATAGTTCATGCTGGCCTCAAACTAAATCTTCTAGCCTTGACCTCCCAAATGCTGGGATTACAGGTGGCCACTACCATGCCTAGCTTATATTTCATTTATTAAATGCTAAATACATTATAAATACAATCTCAGTACTATATGTATATTATCATGAATCAATCCTCTGAAAAGTTTTATGTAATAAAGTATCAACAATGAATTTCCCATGAATTTCCAAAAATAATCTGGTAACAGGAAGATACAGAAAAAATTGCCAAAGTAGTAATATCCTAATACTATTTATCATCTAACACTTTATCTGGCAAAATTTTGGTGTCCAACAGTAAGAATGCTAAGCACTTTCAATAAAATACCTCATACAAAATTCTATGTACTGTATCTTTGACACACTGCAATAGCAGTATGGCTTTGCACTGATTTGTGCAGATTACAGTTTCTCACAGTATGACAGGAAAAGTCTAATTTTTCACTATCAATGAGATTTTCTCGAAAGGGGGAGGTTCATTACAGATCCCAAGTGTGCCTGAATTTAATGATCCTCTTCCCTAAGCCACCTGAGTGCTGGAATTACAGGCATGTGCCACCATATTCAGCTATCAATGAGATGTTTAAGTGAGAGACTTTGAAGCTAAGAAACAAAATAGGAGAGTAGTGTGCATTAGCACACTTAGGCTTCACCTTTGCATGATAATGTAAGACTCCTAATATCTCCAATATTTAAAACCCACCTCTGAATTGGTGGTCCAGCTCTGTGGTAGATCATTTTACCTAGGATGCCTAAGACCCTGAGTTTGATCCTCAGTACTACAAGAAAGAAAGAAAATAAATACCCTTCTGAAAAGAAGATAGTAATACTTACCTGATCCTTCATTTGCACCATTCTGAGCAGCTTCCCAAACTACTACTTTTGTAGAATCTGAATAGTCTGCAGGATTAAATGTGCTGGAGTTTGAAATACAGAAAAAAATAAAAGCAAATGAAGCCAGCTGCAAGTAATTGAAAATGATTTTCCCCACCAAGCAAGCTTAATCTAACAACCATTGTAAAAGGCTTATCCTCTCCTTCCATTATGGCTAATTCTTTTAATCACCAGGATGCAGAGCCTCTAAAAAGGTGAGGGTGCCTAGGAATCTACTATATAATCCGGCATAACGGCCTTATTTTCCACAATGTGGCCCTCTGCATTGTAAGGCAGTCCTAAAATTTGCAGTCTTTTCAAGACAAAATAGGGCCATGGATGCAGATCAGCGGCTCAGCACCTGCCTGACAAGCGCATGGTCCAGGGTCTGATTTCCGGAACAAAACATGCACTAATGGAAAGTTCCACTGACTACTAAGACCACTAGTAAACAAGACTTTTCTTCACAAGTCAGAATCCAAGTCTGGCTTTAAAATTTTTATAACAGAATTGTATCTCCCTTTATAGATAGAAGAAAATGGATATGGATTTTTTTTCCACCTCTCCGTTATGGCATAATGTGAAACATCTCCTCAAAGTCTCGTGTTCAAAGGTGTAGGCTTTTGAAAAATGATTGGAACTAGACATGATGGCGCACTCTTATAATCCCAGTACTCAGGAGGCTGAGGCAGGAGGATCATTGGGAGTTCAATACCAGCCTGGATTACAAAGTGAGCTCAAGGTCAGCCTGAACTACATAGTGAGACCCTGGCTCAAATAGACCAAAAAAAAAAAAAGTGTTTAGATTACGGGGTTGCTATTCTTATTAGTGGATTAATCTACTGATGAATTCATAGCTGAATGTGCCGTTATGAAGTAGGGCAGGAGTTACAAGGGAATGACCTGGAATGGTATATTTTTAACCCTGGTTCCTCCCTTTGATCTTAGCTTCCTGACTGCCATGGGTCAAACAGCTTTTCTCTGCCATGCCTTTTCAACCACACCAATTCTGCCACAGCTTTCCAACATGCCCCTCCACCGTGCCATTTCTGCCTTGGAGCCAGCCAATGATGGACTAAATCCACTGAAATCATGAACCCAAATAACTCTTTCCCTTACGTTGAGAGTGTTGGATATTCTGTCCCAACAATAAGAATGACTAAAATGGCTCTCCCTGGTTTTCGGTTTATTTGTTTGTTTGTTTTCCTGTAAGGTAGAATCTCACTTTTGCTGTTCAGGCTGACCCTGAACACACAGCAATCCTCCAGTCTCAGCACACCACTATGCTCAGCTAACCCTTTTTATTTTCATTAAAACCCTAAATTAGAAAACTGGACACCTATAAGGAATTTAGATTCAGAGGTCTCACATTGGCTAAAGTAGATACAACCTAAACTCTTCACAAACACAAAATAAACTGAAAAATTCATAAACTAGTTTAACAACAGGGTCGGTATATCCTTGAACTGGCTTAGGTAGCCGAGGCTGGCCTTGAGCTGACAGCAATCCTCTTGCCTCAGCCTCCTCAGTGCTGGAATTACAGGCATTTCCCAACAAGCCCAGTTCTCCCTTTATTTTCATTCCTCCTTTTTCCTCAGATAGCTCCGTTGAAAAACAGAAATGGCAGGTGGCACTATCACTTCTAGTAGGCATTGCTTCCCAGAGTGCTTCCCTAAAAGTTATGGAAACGACAGCCTCTTTATGGCATTAATGTACTTCCGTAAGATTTTTGTTGTTTTGATGTTGTACTAACGAACAAACTCAGGAATGCTCTACCATTGAGCTGTATCCCCACCCCCCCTTTAACTTTTATTTTGAAACAGTGTCTTGCTAAATTGCCTGCCCTACTCTCAGAATTGCAATCCTCCTGCCCCTGTCCTCTGCAAGTTGGGCTTGCATGCATGTATCACTACATCTGCCCACAAATAAATAAAATAGAAAGACTGATTGGGGGGCTGGGGATTTAGCTCAGCGGCATAAGCGCCTGCCTTGCAAGCAGGCAGTCGTGAGTTCGATCCCTAGTACCGATAAATACGAAAAAAGACAAAAAAAAAAAAAAAAAGAAAGAAAGAAAGAAAGACTGATTGATTGACTGATTTTGGATACAGGGTCTCACTGCAGTTCAGGTTGGCCTTGAGCTTATTTTGTAACCCAGGCTGGTCTCAAAGTACCAACGATCCTCCTGCCTCAGCCTTCCAAGTGCTGGGATTACAGGCATGCACCGTAAGATTTAAGCTTGCCCATAAGATTTTTATTTTTTTTTTTTGGTACTGGGGATCCAACTCACAACTTCATGATTGCCAGGCAGGCCCTTAAGCCACTAAGCTAAATCCTCAGCCCTGCCCATAAGATTTTTAGAAACAACTTTTTTCTAAGAATCCAGTAAGAGCTAAAGTTTTAGAAGCAACAAGATGGGACAGAAAACAGAAACAATAAGCCATTAATTTTAGCACATGTTTAGTATACTCATTCTTTACTTCTGTAATTCAGGACAAAAATATCACTTTTACATGAATAAGCACTGCATGTAATTAACATTCAAAGACAAATGTTGGATTTACTAGCTCGTATGCAGTGGCTTTCAATTAGGTATAAAAATAATGCATACAAGCATATGTGCACAAACACACATACACCCCCAGGAACATGTAGCAATGTCTGTAGAGATTTTGATTGTCACATCAGGAGGAGTACAACTGGCATCGTAAGGAGAATAAAGGGTTGTTGCTAAACATCCTACAATACACAGAATAACCACTATTACAATGTACTAACCCAGCCCAAAATGCAAACAGTGCCAAGGCTAGAAGCCATGCTCTCATGCTTACTCAAATTTATTTATACTATTTTCACTTTTAACATTCTTTTCAAGTATAAAAAAATTTGATTCACAAAGGTAAACAGACTGGGGGCTGGGGATTTAGCTCAGCGGCATAAGAGCCTGCCTTGCAAGCAGGCAGTCGTGAGTTCGATCCCTGGTACCGATAAAAACGAAAAAGACCAAAAAAAAAAAAAAAAAAGGTAAACACACTGGGTACAGAACAGAGGACGGGAAACTATAATAAAGTAAGGGAGCTATAGTAAAGAAATAACTATGAAAATAGGATGGCTGTGACTTACCCCATGCTTTGGGCTGAGAACCTTCCTGTCCCTCTTCCTCTTCCTCGTCCAAAACCTTTTAAAAACAAAAACACAGGGTCAGGGGTTTAGCTCAGTGAAGTAAGCACCTGCTTGACAAGCGCAAGGTCATGAGTTTAATTCTTCAAAATAAAAAAAATTATAGTATACAATACTATGTATGTTCTACATAATCCTATCCTGTCTTCCTATACTCATCACACAAACATCGTGATTATTTCTATCCTGTTATTAACTTTAGAAGGAGTAAGGGAGGGGAGGAAAGAAAAACAGAGAAGGGAGAAAAGTAGAGGAAATTAGTGTGTGACTCCTCAAAAATTTTAAGCAGATTTTCTGAGAGCCAGAATGCAACACTTGCATATGACCCTTAAAAAAACAAAAAACAAAAAAGGCAACCAACGACCCACAGTAAGGCAGATCCCACCTGCAGACATTTCCCTGACTCCCAAAAATGTGCACCCCAAAGAGAATCAGACAAGCTACCTGAGTCTAACCTAGGAGGGTAGAATGCAATCCGTTTCTCTCTACACTAAGAAGAAAAAAAGGTTGGCTAACAGCCAGCTGTGCCAGAAACTATGTACACCTCCCAAGTTGTAACATGCAGATTAAAAGATACTGGCTAGTTCTAAAGTTTTTATACTGATGAAATTCTTTGATTTTTTTTTTTTTTCTTTTAGGTTTTTTGTGATAGAGTCTCACTCTATTTCGGCTGGCCTTGAACTTGCAATGATGCTCCTGCCTCAACTTCCCAAATGCTGGGATAACAGACATGCACCATCACACCTGGTGTTCAAATTCCTTCAATTCTGAAGGCTGTTTCAATGATATATAGATACTACTATCCAAGGACACCCTGAACTCCATAGCAAGACCCTGTCTCAAAAAAAACAAAGGTAGTGTTTTCCTGATTTTATTATTGTAATACAGTTCTACAACACAAGATCTATATTACACACTCATATGAATGTGAGGAATATGAATAAATGTCATTAGGTCTGCAATTTACAATAAATTTTTAAGGAAAAAATGGTACGGTAAATGTAATAAAATATTAAAACCCAGGACCTGAGTAAATGGAATGAATTATTGTAACCTTTTATTTCAAGATAGTATGTACTACACTGCAGAGCATTTCTGAACATATTTCTTAAGTAAATAAGTATTTCTTTTGTGAAAAAAATTAAGTTCCTTCCTATCTTGGACCCTTTACACTAGCTCTTCCTTTGACAGAGTATTGTTGCTTGATTTTCATTTACTTTCTCTTTCCTCAGCTTCCCAAAGCAACGCAAAAAACTTGAGGCATCAGGCTAACAGATGCTCCTTGAGAATATGCTGTTGCGTGAAATAAATCAGACACAAGGTTAAATATTGCACAATTTCTCTTACATGAGAAACTCCAAATATATGTATGTATACACAAAGGACAAAATAGAAGACAAAGGGCTGGGGATTTAGCTCAGTGGCATAAGCGCCTACCTTGTAGGCACACAGTCGTGAGTTCAATCCCCGGTACCAAAAAGAAAAAAAGTTAAAACAGAAGACAAATAGGCTTTGGGGAGGAAAAGGTATTAAAACGAGTTCCTTACCTTTAAGGAGTAAAAGTAACTTGGTAAATATCTTAATAAAAAAATAGTAGCCATGAGTTAAGAGAGAGACAGACAGACAAATAGGAAGGAAGTTTCAATACCTCCCTGTATTATCTACTCTGTTGTTTCAAAGTTATTTTAAGATAAATGATGATCTGTTATCCAAAAATGTAAAGGAGACCTAATGACACATGATCACATTATTGATTATTTTCTAAGCCAAATATTGCTCTTCAACAACAAAACATAAATTCAAACACTTAAAAGTACGATAATGTCACTATATAAGAAATAACTCAGCTGTTCAAAAATTTAAGCCAAACTCAAAGACAAATGTCATAGTTCTCCTCAATATATGGACTTTAAAAAAAGTCAAAACTGCAGGAAGACTTACCAGAGATGAAGAAGGAAATACACAGATGGGGCGGGGGCATAAAGACAGCTGATGGGGAATTAGATATATTTTGCCCACTGGAAAGCCCCAAAAGGTAAAACTGAGGAGGCCATGGTGGGGGACACATGTGAAAATGATCAAAGTAAGTTATGTGCATGTTTTGCAAAAATGAAATCTGTAGGGTCAGGGATTTAGCTCAGTGGTATATGCACCTGCCTGGCAAGCACAAGGTTATGAGTTTGATCCCTGGTATCCAAAACAAAACAAAACAAAAAAAAAGACTGAAATCCATTAACTTGTACAACCAATATTAATTAGTAAAAAAAGTTGTGGAAAGAAGTAAGTCTCACATAATCTAATATTTACACTGAGAATGTCATTTCCAATTCATAAACACATTGTGCTATACCACAGAAACAAGAGTGCTATGCCATGAATTCCATATGAAAAATGTTAATCTATTTATAAAGCACATGCAAAGTTACACAAAACAACAAATAAAAGTGGTGAGCTTCACTAAATTTTGGATTATCTTGGAGCCACTAAATATACCAAGACTATGCCACGTGTGGTGGCACACATTTGCAATTCCAGCACTGGGGAGTCTGAGGCAAGAGGATCAATGCAGGTTCGAGGCCAGCCTAGGCTACATAGTGAGTTCTATGCAAGACTGAATTACATAGGCCCTGTCTTAAAAAAAATAAATAAAATTAAAAGGCTGTGGGTGGGCTCAGTGGTAGAGCACTTAGCTAGCATCTAGCATGTGCAAGGTCCTAGAGTTTACTTCCCAGCACTATGAGAGGCAGGGTATTCCCTATGAAACAATACACTTCTAACTACGTTTCCTGCCACTGGTTGCAAGAACTCCAGTGCAGATTATTCCCTTGCCCATGACAATAATATGTGTAGGGAACCCTAACACAGACATACTCCTTGCTTGTAGTTATTTGTTTGTCTTTTTGGATGCAGAATTTCATTACATGGTTCAGGCTGACCTTGAATTCACTATGTAGCCCAGGCTGACTCCGAACTCACAGTGATCCTCTAGTCTCAACCTCCCGAGTGCTGGGATTACAAACTGTGTAGCACCACGCCCAGCTTTCCTTTAAGATTTTACAACCCTAGACCCATACACATCAGGAAGATCCTAGAAAAGCTCAGCAGGACTGCCCAGAACCTGTTACCACAGAGATACATAACTTTCTGGCAGCATACTAACCTGATATTTTAGTAATGTAGTCTTTTTTTTTTTTTTTTTTTTCAGACAGTCTTGCTATGTAGTCCAAACTGGCCTTGAACTCATTATGTAGCTCAGGCTTGCCTCAAATTTGTGTTGATCATCCTTCCTCAGTCTCCTGAGTGCTGGGATGATAGGCATGTACCACCATGCCTGGCTAAAGTCTACCAACTTATCAACGAGAGCCCCTGGCCCTTAGAGGTTCACACTCATAAAGTGGCCAGGCCCTGTGCTCTGCATCATTGGTTCAGATTTGATAACTCTTGGGGATGAATGTTAGAACAAGTCACCTCCCAATATATAGGTGTCTGATGATTGTCTCAGACAAAGATGACCACCCATGTTGTTATCTGTGAGACTTCATCAGTTTCACAACACAGCACCAACTTGGGATATTCATCTTTCCCCACAAACTAGGTTACCCCTACTTGAGCTTATGTAAGGTTTATCTTTGTTAGCCCTCTTTGAGACTACACCTCCCGTCTTACATATGGAATAAACTGCATAATGTTTTTCACCTGCGTAAGAAAAAAAGGCAAGACACAGGGCACAACTGCTGGAATCTGTAATCTCAGCTCCTTGGTAGACTGAGGCGAGACAAGAGGATCTCAAGATCAATGACAAACTGGGCAATTTAGCAATACCCTGACTCAAAATAAGTAAAGTGCTACATATGTACCATAGCACTCTCTCAGTTCCATCTCTAGTACCAGGGAGAAAAACAGGCTGGCAAGACCTTAGAGGGCAAAAGAGCAGTAATGCCAGATGCCATGGTGCAACTCTGCAGACTGAGGAGGATGAGAGGATCAAAAGATCAGGGCCATTCTAGGCAGTCAGCAAGACCCTACCTTAGAACAAAAAGTTAGAAAGGGCTGAGATACATAGTTCAGTGGCAGAGTGCCCCTGGGTACAATCCCCAGTAATGGGGGAGGCAGAAATGAAGAAAATCATCACAAAAGTAAGACATGACTTTTGTTTTGTTTTGTTTAGCTTATGTTTGTTCAAAGATAGTTTCTCGCTATGCACAGTGGCCTTGAACTCACTGTGTAGCCAAGGCTGGCCTTGAACTTGCAGTGATCTTTCTGCCTCGGCCTCCTCAGCACTGAGATTACAGGTGTACATGACCACACCAGGCAAGACATGATTTTAGGTCAAAATTTCAAGTTTTCTGGCCCTGAATCAAAGCCAGCAGCCATGCTGGGACCTGGAGCACCGGGAAACCAAGCAACCCTGCCGGTTTTGTTTTGTTGAACTTCACTATACATGAAAGTATGGACAGCTATTTTGAAGAGAACAAGAGACTCTGCGACAGGCATTAGTGACTTCCCTATTGTCTGGTCTTGAAGACCTAAAATGCCTTTCTCATTCTGTTCAGATCAGTTTTATACTGTGTTGTTTTGTATGAATTCTCTGTATGTGAAGACATGGACAACTATTTGGAAGAAAACAAGAAACAATATGATATTCAGTAGAGATCTTAGGTTGTCTAGCTTTGAAATTTGTATCTCTTACATTGCTTTCTTATGTCCTATTTTGTTCTGTTTTGTTGTGTTTAATTTTACCCCCTTTAAAATAAAAATAAATTTTTTTAAAAAATTCAAGTTTTAAACAATTCATAAAAAGAGCTTTCTTGACAGCATATGGTGGCATACAACTGTGATCCCAGCACTCAGGAGCCTGAAACAGAACTGCCCACATGAGCCATATAATAAACTCAAGGCTAACCCTGTACTATATTACAAGACCCTATCTCAAAAACAAACCGGAGATTTTCCCATTTCATCTGCAAACAACCAATAGGTTTCTTCAAAACTGCACAATCAAAATAGTTCATCCACAGTCATCAGTAAATGAATTTCAAGAAAAAGTACGCTGCCCTCCCTCCTTCCAGCTGCCCAGCAGCCTTGCCTTCTTCCGTCTGGTACCAAACATTTCCTTCCCAGCATTCCAGCTTACCTCGAACACGGGCTCGCTTGCCCAGGTCTGCAGTTTTGTCTCGCTGATTACAATCAAGTCCATTCTCTTCCCCTCTAACTAAAGAGGAAAAAACATAAAAATTTATTTTAAAAATTTTGTACATACTTTACCAGATACAATGCAAAAAGGGGGAAAAAAAGAGAGAGACAGACAGACATACTACAAGCCAAAGTTTAAACAAGTTCAGAAAACAGGAAAAATAAAGTGACACAAAAGTTGAATGGCAATATCTTGCACAATCCATAGGTGTAAATTCTGAAAAGAAAACACAGCAACTTGTCTTGCTTCTCCAGAGATTTACTCTAAAAGTAAGTTTGCTTTAAAAAAGAAAATCAATAAAAATTCAAAGTCAAAAAAAAAATTCAAATAGTCTCATTATGCAAGTACACAATATACCATAGAATTGGCTCGTTGGTTAAATTTAAAACTGTAAAGGCAATGAATAGCAAAATAACATATCAAGGCTGATGAGAGGGAGGGTAACGAAAATAAAAAGAAGCAAGATAAACCATATATAAGTACAAATTCCCTGTGATGAATACTATAATTATGTACATCTAAAATGTATTTTAAAATAAAACATTTTTAAGAAAACATACCAAGGAAAAACTGTGTCTTTGGAAAAACTGTTACAGACAGGCTTTTCCAGGATGGTGTCTAGTTTGTTTGACCAACATACCATATCTTCTTTGCCCACCTATACTGACACTGATGACTTTATATACAGGTATTTGATGAAAGATAATGGCATCAAGGCCCAGGGATCTAGCTCAGCGGCACAGCGCCTGCCAGGCAAGCACAAGGTCACAAATTCAATCCCTGGGACCAAAAAAAAGGCACTGGCACCACTTGCTCCTCTTTCCTTGTTCAGGGCTTCACTCACATGAGTCCCCAGTGAGGCATTCTTTGTAATGTATTTAATTTTGCCACACCCCTCTCTATAATCTTCAATCTTTCTGCCTTTGTCTTTAGATAATGCTGTTAAAATACGGCAGGTGAAAGTGCAACTCAAGTAAGTGGCTGAACATAAGCTCTGCATGAATAAGGCACTGAGTCCAACCCCTTCTGTCACCAAAAATGCTATGTAAAATATTTTATTTCACGTTTTCTATTTTCATATCCCACTCTACCTTCAGTAAGATAAAGTCTAGGGGGCAGTTTTCTGCTTCACTTATTTTGTTTCTCTCCCCCTTTTTTTTTTTTTTTTTTTTTTTTTAATACAGTCTCACTGGGTAATGTAGGCTGCCCTTGAGCTCCTGATCATCCTGCCTCAGGCTCCCAAGGGGTAGGACTGCTGGCCTATACCACCACGCTTTCCCTTTTATTCATATCTATATGTACATGACAGTATTCACTACATACTGAGTGCTCAATAAATATCTGTGGTATAAATGAGATAGCAAGTCTCTCGGACTACTGCCATGCCCAAACTTGGCTATAATCGATAGTATTGAGAAAATCCTGCACATTCAACAAGTTTCCTATCAATCCCTTGTATATACCAAGATTCATAAATGGATAAAAGAGCTTTATCTGCCAGCCAATCAACTTCCCTACATGTGTTTAAAATTAGAAAATGTACTTGATTCATACTGGAAGGCAATCTTAAGGCACCTGGTATAATAACCTACAGTCCAAGTCAGTGCTGATAAGCAATTGTATCACAGGTTCTAAGGAACTACTCAGGGGCAGCTCATTACTAGGGTGAACTATCAGATAAACAAGTTTCGCACTGAAAATGTGATTCTAAGAGCATTCTTTCAGCTTTTCAAAATGTATACAAAGTCTATACTTACTCTCTCTACCACGATTACTTCCTCTTCCTTTCCGGTTACCACGTCCACGAATTGCTTCTCTTTCGCTTCTCTTCTCTCTATTCTCTTTGTTTTCCGAACTTTCTTTTCCAAAGTTCTTTTTCTTCCCCCCGACAGTTTCCCACGAAGTCTATCAAAAAGAAGGGTTTTTTATTCAGTTATCATTTAATGTATACAATTATTGAGGATGTCACAGGAATCTTTAAAATTGCCCACAACTTGAAAAGTTGTTTGCCTTTTGTTTTTTTCCTCCACAGTTCTATCTTTTTATTTTAAAGGAAAAAAAAAATTATAGAATTTTATAATTCTAATTTCAAAATACAGAATTTCAAAACAATATAACAAGAGATTAGCAATGGTTCATATATTACATAATTATCTCCTAAGTAGTTACTCAGATTACAAGGTTTAGGCATGAAAAAATGATCAAACAATGAAAACACAAACAGTTCTGTTGGAAGAACTAACAGAGCTTAGTAGTATAATTATCCATCTTACATATGTATATATGTGTGCATATATATATATATATATATATATATTAATATCTTTCCCCTTCTTTCTTTTCTCCTTTCCCTCATCCCAGTTGTTTCCTTTTAAGCAGTTTCTTCCCCCTTCACTTTTATGTTATCTACCACTATATTTTGGATCCTATTCACTCTTTCAGTTTTTTACACGTGCAAGTCTGATTTATTTCATTGTGCTCTACTTCCTTGATAACACAGACAACAAACTTCTTCCTAAACCCATTATGCTATACAGTTCACAAATAATTACAGGTTATTAGCTGACCTGACAATAAATATACTGTATGTTTTCCCACCATAGTTTTCTTTGCTGACTTAAGTAAATGATGTTCAACATGGCACACATGCCTATAATCCTAGCACTCCAAGAGGCTGAAGCAAGAGGATCATAGCTTGGACAATTTAGCAAGGCCCTGTCTCAGAATGAAAAATAAAAAAGAAATTTGGGCTGAAGATTTAGCTCAGCAGCGTAGTGCTGGTCTAGTGAGGTCCTAATTTTGAATCCTGGTACCCAAACAAACAAAAAACACAGGGGCAAAGGATTTAGCTACATGGTGTAAGTGCCTGCCTGGCAAGCATGAGGTCATGAATTTGATCCTAGTACCAAAAAAAAAAAAGGGGGGGGGGGGACTGGACTGTAGCTCAGAGTAAAGTCCCCATATTGAGGGGAAAAAAGCTGACCAAATATTATATTCCCAAGCTCCTTCCCTATGCCACTTGTTATCGTTTGTGTCTAGGTGGCACTCCAAGCCTCATGCAGTCATGGAGGCAGCTGAATCTAGTGTTTGTGATTGGTTCATCGTCTAGCACTAGGACTGGAAGTGTGCGTGCTGTGCTTTCCAGGGGCAGGGAGCCAGCCTACAATGTAAGAGTGGGAAGGAGGTGTTCTTTTTTCCCTTTTTCACCCTTTTCATTCTTACTGTTTGCAGCCGCCCATGGCACCCTTCTTTGGAGCCATCTAAGTAAGGACAAAAACCACCAAACCTGTAAAATAAATAAACCTTTCCTTGCTTTACTTTTGGCATCCGGTATTGTGTCTCAACAATGAGAGAAAAGTAACCAAGACACCTACATCAGTAGTAACTTTACCAATATGTAGATAAATTTACAGAATACAAAATTACTTAGAATGATATCCTACAAGTTCTAGAAATCTTCAGGTTGTGAAGCACCAGCAAGGAAGCAATGCAGCCATGGTAGGGTAATCATTTCCTCTAATCCCAAACAAGGAAGCTGACTCCACCTCTTGCCCCTCCTCCCACTCCTCCCACCCTCCCCACCACCACCACATCCACCAAGTGAGAGGCTAATAGCTAAAATGGGGAAGTAACCTGATAGTTATGTTGTCTAAATTGACTTTGCAGGCCTGGGGCCCCTAGTCTGGGGAACTATTTAGAGGATGATAATATGCACAGTAAGGAACCTGGATGGATTTCCTATTGTCCTATCACTCTTTTGTTTCATTTTACTGTTCTGTTTTTCTCCATTTAAAATAATTTAAAAAGAAAAGTAAAGTTCTACGAATACAACTTTGCCATTCAGCTATCGGAGGGTGGGGCAATTAGATTCATCAAAGTCTACACTGGTTGTTTTTTCCTCATTACTGAAATGTAAAATCTACATCTTCAACCTCAAAGAACCATTCCAGTGAAAAGTCAAATGATTTATATAACCTCCTGCAATGGTAACATGAGATCTAATTATATATAAAAACTTCTGAGAAGACAAGGAAATACTACATTCTTAAATTCAAGAGTATCAAGCACAAAGCCAGTTATGGTGGCACAGACCTATAATGCCAGCTCTCAGGAGGCTGAAGCAGTAGCATCGCTGTGAGTCTAAAGTTAACCTGGGCCACATAGTGAGTTTAAAATCCAACCTGAACTTATAGTGAAATCCTGTCTCAAAAAACCCAACACGAAGTAGAATATGAAACACACACACACACACACACACGAATGAAGAATATTTACAATGGAGTTCTATTTAGAAAAAAAAAAAAAAAAGAATGAAGATTATCAAAGACAACTATACATGCTAATCATATCCTGTAATCCCAACAACCTGGGAGACTGTGGGAGGAGGATAATAAGCATGAGACCAACCTGGGCAATTCAGCAATACCTTGTCTCAGAATGTAAAAAAACAATTTTTTTGTACTGGAGATTTAACTCATGACCTCACACTTGCCAGGCAGGTGCTTGTGCCACTGAGCTAAACACCTAGCCCCCAGAATTTTGAAATTTAAAAAGAGCTATCTTCGATGCCACGGGGAAAAAATGTATCAAGCAAACTGTACATGCCTATAATCCCAGCATTTAGGAGATTAAGACATTGTAAGCTTTCAGAAATATTAAGAAAAACACTAACATTACCCAAATAAACTAAAATTCAAATGATACAGCTGAATTATTTGCAAAATGAATACAGCTTCAAAACGTACAAACTTCTTTGGCCTTCTACAAATATCTGATTAATTCATATACTTAATTAGACATACAATGACTGGCAGTTTAAAAAAAAAACCACACAAATAATCTTTCTACCTTTAAACTTTTTTTTTTCCTGCCCTGTTGTATTTGAACTACCCTTAAACTTTGTAAGACTAAAACTATTGGCACTTGCTGTTACCCATCAACATACTCCTAGACAGTTCAGGGAGCAGGCCTCTGTAACCTTTTTACCAAGATATCTAGTGACAGTTTGCAAGTTTTAATTGATAAACAATTTTAGATCTAGCAACTCTACATTTATGCCTCTATTCAAATATTCTGATAATTATCCAACCATTTATCTACAGACAAGGGTTAACAGAATGAGAGGAAGTGAACAGTTCCAAAACATAATTTAGAACACTATCTAGCACATTCATAAAAGGAGTACTATGCAGATAATTATACAGATACACAAAGAGGCCCTTGTTATAAATAAATAAGCTATCAACAAACAATATATAATTATATATACTGTTAAAGGTCAAATAGGAGCCTCTGTGTGTATACTGAAGGACGTGCTAGTAATTAGTTACCTAAGTAAAGACAATCTATCTTTCTGTGCTGCTTTTCTGATTAAAGAATAGCTTATTTATTCCAGATTTTAAAATTTCATGGTATAAAAACTCAATTTAAGGGCTAGGGATTTAGCTCAGTGGCATAAGCACCTGCCTTGCAAGCAGGCAGTCATGAGTTCGATCCCTAGTACCAATAAAAAGACCAAAAAAAAAAAAAACTCAATTTAGGGCGAGGAATGGTGTTGCACACCTATAATCCCAGCACTTGGAAGGCTACAGTAGGAGGATCACTGTGAGTATGAAGTCAGCCTGAACTACATAAGCAAGTTCAAGGCCAGCCTGCACTACATAATGAGACACTGTCTCAAAGGAAGGGAAGAGAAGACAAGACAAGACAGAAGGAAAGAGAGGAGAGAAAGCTGTACAGTACATAATTGTTTAAGATAGAATCCTCTTCTCAGAGGTAAACAATAAAAAACTCAAAGAGGCATTAGAAAAGCTACACAAATTACAGTTAGCACAATATGAATGCATGTGTGTGTGTAATGTATGTTTTTACACAGCCAGACCTACAGGAGCCAATTTTCTACATAAAAAGAGAGACACATCTTATCCTATTTCATTTAACAAAAAGAATATACCCGCCTCAAGCACACCTCGGCTTATGAACTCTACAGAGTAATAAGAAATCATTTATGGGGAAAAAAAATTATTGAGGCAACCTTGTTCAAAATTATGGCCCTTCAGCTTTGACATGATCAACACAATTTAGTAAAAACAGGTAAATATATAGATGCAAGGGACTGATACTTACATTTTGTCATCCAAACAAAACATCAAAAAGCAAATATTTCAGTAATGATGATCATGTGCAATATTCTCCTTTGAGACAGTTACCCTTTAACTCATTCACAACAGGGCCATAATTCATACATCTTGCCACCAGGCAGCTTAGACCAACCATGGCAGACGCATGATTGTCCCATCAGGCGGCTTTTAATTAATTAAAATAAAAATCATGGATTGAGGGCTGGGGATATAACTCAGCACAGTGCTTTCCTGACAAACACAAAGCTGTGAATTCAATCTCCAATACTTCAAAAAAAAAAACAATGGATCTGTTTGTACCACCAGTGGTTCAAACCAGCAGGACTGTGTTAAGGAGAAAAATTCATCCTGACAAATAGGACAACAGCCAGGCACAGTGGTGTATGCCTGTAATCTTATATATTCAGGAGGCTGAGGCAGGAGGATCACAAATTCAAAGTCAGCCTGGTAAATTCAGTCCCAAAATTTAAAAAAAAAAAAAAAAAAAAAAGGAGCTAAGGATATGGGTCTGTACTTTAATACCACAGGGCAAGGGACAGTGTCAAGGACACCCTACAAACACCTTTGCAAACTAGGAGATTTATTTCAAAAGAACAAAGTTGGCCAACAAAACAAGATGTTTGCCTTGATGACTTAGGAAACACTGTTGGCTCTCCTAGCAACTCTACAGTGTTTACACTCAAACACCCCCACTCCAGTTAACTGCAGGAGTCAAGGGAAAACAGTTACTATCGCTGAGTTAAGGTACTAGCTGCAGACATCAACCAAGTCAAAAACAAGGCAAACAAGAGTGAATAAAAGGCTGGCACAGGAGGATCATGTCTAAAGACAGCCTGAGCTACACAGAGAAGAATCCATGGCTCAAAAAACTAACAGGGAGACTGCTGAAGCAAGAGGACCGTCACAAGTTTGAGCCCAACGTACATGACATAATGAGTGCCAAGCCAACCTGAACTGCATAGTGAGACCTTGCCTTAAAAGGGGCAGAGAGAGGGGAAGTGAATGCCTCATAGAATACCCTAAGTAAACCAGGAATTCAAAAGGACTATCTGTTTCTCCATTATCCCGTTAGACCTCACCTGCAAATAAGCGTACCTTTTTAAGGCTGGCCTGGAATACAAAGCCATAACTGTCTCAAAATATAAATAAAGAGAATGAAATGGCATTCAATTTCTACACAGAAATGAGGTTAGGCTACCAAGAGTCTGATGTGGCTTTAGCTGCATCCTTCCTAAAAATCCAAGAGCTAAGGGCTACCAATTTTTTTTTTTTTTTTTTTTGCTTTTAAGGTTAAAAACAAAAGGCTGGGGCTGGGGATTTAGCCCAGCGGCATAAGCGCCTGCCTTGCAAGCAGGCAGTCGTGAGTTCAATCCCTGGTACCGATAAAAAGGAAAAAGACCAAAAAAAAAAAAAAAAAAAACGCTGTCAGACTTGGTAGCACACACCTGTAATCTCAACACTCAGGACACTAAGGGAGGAGTACTGCCATGAATTTTGAGGCCAGCCCAGACTACACAGCAAGAATGTCTCAAAAAAGTAAATAAATGAATATACATATACATATATTCATACATACAACAAAAAACAAAAGGCTAAGGCCAGACATAATGATGCAAGCCTATACCCTGTACTCAAGAGACTTGGGTAGGTAGATTAGAAGTTTGAGGCCAGTGAGTTTAAGGCTAGCCTAGACTACTGCAGTGACTGTGTCTACAAAAAACACAAAATCAAACAAAAAGACAAAATTGACCAGGGATATAGCTCAGTGGCATAGTGCCTGTCTGGCAATTATGAGGTCCTGAATTCAATTCCCAATACCAAAAAAGACAAAAACTTACTTCCCTACTACTTAAGTGGATGTGGGAGTGTATGTGTGTGATATTGAGCTATCACTAGAATGCATCCATAGAGCACATGAACAGAGACACCAACAAATCTTGGTGTCCTGTCAGACCAGAGGTCTAATGCCTAGACAAAATAAATGAAATGAAGAAATATGATCAGGGTATAGCCAAAACAAGATTTTAAGGTGGTAAAATGTCCACAGGCCCAGACAATTTCAGAAACTATATAAAGCTAGAACACACATCAGCAAATCTTTCAACTATTCAAGTTCTATTACTTTTAAAGAAACTGTAACAGTCATTTCAAGTTAATGTTCTTTTCTTTAACTTAAAACAAATACAAAACAGAATCCAAAATCATTTCCATCCCTACTCCCATTCACACTGAAGCTCAAAATATAAAACTGCAAACAATACTGAGCACCACAAATCAATTAAGAATACTTACTGTGTCTGAACTCCCTTCCAGTAATATATTAATAGCTTTGTTGATGTCTCCATTACAGTCATGTAGGGCCACGATGCATTCATCCTGATTTTTCCCCGTCACTTCCATAAGCTATTCAAGGTTTGGCAAATAGTTAGGAAAAGCCAAAATAGGCAGTTAATATTAATTCTGAGATTCCTCGGTTACATGCCCAAATTATGCAATGCTGCTATATGAAGACAGCCTTTTTCTGTGATCACCCTACATTCTCTAATAGTAGTAGAATCAAAGTATACAAATCGCCCCTCCTTCAAGCTGACCAAGCATCGAATTTTAATCACCCTCACATACATATATATGTATACATGGGATCAGTTTTCTGCTGTCTCAAACTCTCCCAAATCCTGAACTACTACCACATTAAGTAATATTATTTAAGTACAGAGGCCCCATTTGCAGAATGTCTAATGTTCTGCACATGTACAACATTCCATGTACTAGCTATACTGCACAATCTGTACATGGTAGTTGCCTGTCCCTAATCCCAGCACTCGGGAGACTGAAGTAAGAAAAATGCTGGGACTTTGAGCCTAGTCTGGACAATAAGTAATTTAGTAAAAGCCTGTCTCAAAATTTAAAAGTAAGCCAGACATAGTGACACATACCTGTGATCCCAGCACTCAGGAGGCTGAGGCAGGAAGATTGTTTTGATTTCGAGACCAGCCTGGACTACAAAGTATGTTCATGGCCAGCCTAAACTGCATAATGAGACCCAGTCTAAAAACAAACTTAAAAATAAAAAAAGGGCTGGGAATTCGGCTTGGTGATAAGGCCCTGAATTCAGCAGAGGTGGCGGTGAGACACAACACAACACTCTATGCACAAAGTTAAAACCCAAAGTTTAACAAGTTGAATTTTGTTGCTGTCACACACACTATACTCCTAAACATGCTACATTCTAAACAAACTAACAAGGCACTGTGTATAAAGTAACAAAGAAGTCTCAGCTCATTTTCTTTAATAATGGAGAATATTAGTTCTTCATTAAAATGGTCACTAATGAGGTACAAGTTTCTCAAGTGTCAGTGAACAAATTCACTAAGTATCTATTGTATTTTTTTTTGTCTTTTTCCTTTTTATCGGTACCGGGGATCAAACTCACGACTGCCTGTTTGCCATGCAGGTGCTTATGCCGCTGAGCTAAATCCCCAGCCCCTGTCTATTGTATTTTCATTACATTTATTTTATTGTGTACTAGCTAAAGTTTAAAACAGCTTGATCCTAACATTTCAAAAGATTTGTCTATGATCACAGGCTAACTGATTACAGACAGTCTAGAACATGGGAACCTCGATCTCATCCTCAGTTTTTGAACTACAGGGTTGGGCCTCCATTTTCCTCTTCTCATTTTATCTGCCTACTCTACAGTTTTCCAGTGCATCCATGTTTGGATATCTACTAATAATACATAAATTATCTGTACAACCTACCACATGAAATTATTAAAAAGGAGCAATCAGCAAGATTTCCCCACTGACCGCGTAAGAAAAAATAGTCAGAACTTCACTCTGAAACTCTATAGACCAAACCAAATGTAAAAAAGAATTCTAAACCAATGTTCCATTTTGTATACTGCTCTGCTATTCAGACAAAAATACCATATAGTAAGAACAACCATGAAGCTGGGCATAGTGGCTCACGCCTGTAATCCCAGCACTCAGGAAGCTGAGGTGGGAGGATCTTTGCGAGTTCAAGACCAGCCTGAGCTACAAAGTGAGCTCAAGGCCAGCCTGAACTGCATAGCGAGACCCTGTCTCAAAAAAGATTAAAAAAAGAAAACCATGAGCCTAAGATGTCCCTAGAGAACGAGTTCTATGGTGGGGTGGCATAACAGGGAAGGACAAGGTCCCAGGCTGGCCTCAAACATTTAGATTGAAACAATATTCTCCCCTTCATCTTCCAACTAGCTAGGACCACAGAAGCATGTGCTTTTACAAGGAGCCATGACTGTTAATAAATTGTTTCTATGACTTTGAAAGAAAATTACTCCTAGCATATTGTCAGAAACTGTAAGAAAGAAACTGAATACTGAAATAGTACTATGGGACACTGGATCCAACAACTACTAGGAGAGAACTACTAAGAAGTGGAATACCTGACACTGAGGAAAGGGTATACCTCTGTTTCTGAAGTCAGTAAAGGAGCGTTTGAAATTAAGATTAATTTATCAAAATGACCACTCATTAAAGTTCAAAATGAAGATAAAAAGTACAATTGATACTTTTTCAAGTACAGTTTGAAATCACATTCATATTTGACGTAATTCAGCTCTTCCCTAGCATTAAAAACATTTCCCAAGAATATGTCAAACATTATACTTTCTATATACAATTATACAAAGTATGAGTGGGCTTTCACCAATGTCTACCTCAGTGTTTACATGTAAACATACACTAGTAACTCAAAGATTCTGTCAAGAAGATGAACACACATCTTCACCTGGCTGCCAAAAAAAGTATTTAGCCATGAGTACAAAATCTAGCACAGAGGGCTGGGTATGGTGGTGCGCACCTGTAATTCCAGCACTCAGGAAGCTGAGGCAGGAGGATCACCATGAAATTGAGGCCATCCTGGGCCACATAGTGAGTTCAAGGCTACCCCGAAATACATAGTGAGACCCTATCTCAAAAAAACAAACAAAAACCCTAGCTCAGAGGTATGAGTTGAAAGTAAGCAAGAAACATACACTGGGGCTGGGGATTTAGCTCAGTGGCATAAGCATCTGCCTGGCAAGTGTGAGGTTGTGAGTTCAATCCTCAGTACAAAAAAAAAAAAAAAACATGCATTTATATTAAAATCTCTAATGAAATTATCTTGTTAAGCACAATAACAATACAATACAAAAATCATAGTATTGTTTGTCAGAAACATACCTGTTTTACTTTAGCTTCAAAATCGGAATCATTCTTATCAAAGATCACTTGAGCAAGACGCATCTGTTCAGCTGTGGCCTGGAAAGCACATATAACTGGTAAAGATTTGAGCAATACATTAGATACTAAACTCTGGGTCAAGCAGACAAAGCACTCAAGCACTAAAGTAATACAAACAATGATTAACAAAAATGGGGCGGGAGGGGATCTCAGGTCTCTCAGATGCTTACAACTTGTTCCATAAGATCAGTAAGCACAAAGTGAAATAGTAAAAAGCACCCAGCCCTTTGGTTAAATAACTAAAAGTTCTTTTTCATTATCACTGGCCATGTAGTTTATTTGATCTTCTTTGCCCCCCCCGGGGGGGGGGGGCCAGCATGAGATAAATCAGAAAACAATTAATGGGGCTAGGCATGGTGGCACACTCTTGAAATCATGACTACTTGGGAGGCCATTCAAGAGAAACACAAGTTTGAAGCCAGCCGGGGCAACTGATCAAGGTTCTGTTGAAAAATTAAACCAAAGAAAGGCTAAAAATGTAGCTGAGTGGTAGAATATTTGCATAGTACCACAAGAAAAAATAAAGAAGCCCTCAAAACAATTGCCAAGACATAGGCTTAATAACACTGGTATCAAAAAAGCTCTGCTGTCCTGTCTAAAAAGGTATCCTGGTCAATGTTGACAAGAAAAGCCTGTATTAACTGAAAAAAACTTTTTTTTTTCCTGGCAATTACTGCTTTTAGTAAGCAATTTCAGAAATTTTTAATTTAAAGAAAATTCCTGGGCCAGGATATAGCTCAGCAGCACAATTGTTTGCCTGGCAAGCACAAGGTTCCGAGTTCAATTCCTGGTACCAAAAGATAAATTCAAAAACAAACTAAATGCTAAAATTAATCACCACAATAGAAAATACATTTCCAAGCCAAGCCACATGTGGTGGCACACACCTGTAATTCCAGCACTTGGGAGGCTGAGGCAGGAGGACTGTTTAAAGTTTTGAGATCAAAGTGAGCTCCAGGCTAGCCTGAACTACATAGTGAGACCCTGTCTCAAAAAGACAATAAATAAACAGGAAAAAGAAAATACTTTCCAGTTATTTTCTTCATTCAAAATATTTTGTTTTTCTAAATCAAATTACTAGCTGTGCATAGTGTTACACACCTATAATCTCACCACTTAAGAGGTTTAAGTAGGACTGAGAAGAGTAAGCCAAACTGGGTTAGGCCTGGACTACAGAAAGAGATTCTATCTCAAAAAAAAGCAAAATTTCTAATTTAAAACCACTGAATGTCAAGGTTTGTCTGTGATAATTTTAGCAATAAAAGAACTGTTATTACTCTTTCATGCAATAACTTAATACAATATATACCTATTTTGTATTTCAGTTTTGACCAAGATACCATGATTATTTTGTGACAAAAGGAAAATTAGGTGAGGGGCATACATCAACTCCCTGATCTAACTCTTGGACAATTTTCTTTTCTTTTTTTTTTTTCCTTTTCTCTTTTTTGGGTCTCATACTTGCCGGGTGGTGCTGTACTAACGAGCTACTTCCCTGGCCCAGTACAATTTCCTAGTAAATCTAAAATTACTAGCTCATTTTTTAGCCAAACATGGAGGTACACACCTGTAATCCCAGTACTCTGGGAGCTAAAGCAAAGAAGGTCATAAATTAGAGCCCCATTAATCTACTTAAGAGACTTAAAAATAAAAAGGGAGATGGGGATTTGGTTCACTGTGAAGGCCCTGGGTTCAGTCCCCAAGACAGAAAAAAAAAATTAATTACAAGTTTGTTTTTTAAATTACCTTTCTTAATTGAAGCCTTCATTAACTAGTAACAAATGTATCTAAAACTCTGAACAGCTCACTGAGCAATTCTAAAGAAAGAGAAGCCACATACAAGGAACAAATGAATACCTGTTTTTGGATTTTAATATACACTGCACACATTTAAAGTAATCTCACAAAGCAGAGAGAGAGTTACTGTCATTTCTGCATTGCTTTAACACTTTTCACAAGGCTTTTCAGTCTATGTGGGTGGATAATTACACAAATTTCAGCATTTGTGACCTGTACTGGACTACTTAATGGCCAATTTTGTCATTCCAGTTTATGCCTGCTCTTATGGTCACTGCTAATTACACCCTGAATAATATTTCCTCATAAATAGTGTCCACACCTTAGCACCTCAGTATATAAGAGGGCCTTAAATGCACTTTCACAGTGGATACTGCATATGACACTTGGAAGTTCCATTATCGCTGCAAAAGGATCATTAGCATGATAAATAAATGCAGTAAAAGGAAAACAAGCTCTGAAAAGATGGTAGTCTCAGATTAGAATCTGAATGCTGGGTAACAGCAACTTTTTTTGAATCAAAGTATACCACTGGGGCCAGGCATAGCGGCACACATTTATAATTCCAGTACTCTGTGAGGCTGAGGCAGTAGGACCACAAGTTTAAGTCCTACCTGGGAAAGCTGATGACTTAGCAAGACCCTGTACTCAAAAGAAAACAAAAAGCTGGGGAGATGTAGTTCAATGTGAAGGCCCTGGTTCAATGTCAAATACTACAAAACAGGAATGAATGAATGACTACAGCCCATCAGTGGCCCTAAACTAAGCCTACATTAATAGTTAGCCTATTTTTTCCTAACATCAGTATCTTTCATTCCCTGAGACCCAGATCTAAAATAGTATACTCCACCCGCACTTTAAAATGCCCTGCAACTAGTCTGCAAATACGTAAAAACCGCCTCTGATAAATGAACAATCCTATCTTTCCCAAAACAAACACCTTGAAAATAAGGCCATTTTAATTAAAGAAATCGGTATTTAAGTGCTGGGGTGCAATTCATTAGTAGAATGTGTACCTAACATATCCAAGGCCTAGAAAAAGGTACCAAGCACCCCCAACCCTTAAAAATATAACAAATCCTGGGGTGAATACCAAGCAACCCCATCCAAAAAAGTACTTAGTTTTTATATCTTAGATGTCTAGTAAGGATAAACTTTTAAAAATACATTGATTCTGCGACTGGGGATTTAGCTCAGCAGCATAGGCACCTTCCTTGCAAGTGTGCGGTCGTGAGTTTGATCCTTGGTACTGATAAAAACAAAAAAGACAAAAAAAAAAAATACACTGATTCTGAGCTAAGATATAAACTGGCTGGCAGGACACTTACTTGCCTACTATGAAAGAGGACCCAAGTTCCACCTCCTGTACTGCCATCAACCAAGAAGAAGGAAGGCAAAAAGTAAAATATTTTCATTAACAAAGGGTATAACTGGGGCTGGGGATTTAGCTCAGCAGAATAAGTGCCTGCCTTGCAAGCAGGCAGTCGTGAGTTCAATCCCCGGTACCCATAAAAAAGAAAAAGACAAAAAAAAAGGGTAGAAGAGCAGGTACAGTGGTACATGCCTGTAATCACAGCAGTCAGGAGGCTGAGGCAAAAAGATTGTCATGAAGTTGTGGCCACCTAAGTTACATACTTGGCAAGACCCTGTCTCAAAAAAAAAAGGAGTTTGACAAAGAACATCTCCATTTTACAACTTCTATAGTAAAGGCTGGTTCAGGCCTGGGAATGTTGTTCACTGGTAACAGTGCTCACCAAGAACATGTGACACCATGGGTTCAATGCCCAGCACCATGCCGCGCGTGTGCACACACACACAAAGTAGATTGAGACAAGAATCATTAATGAAGCTGGGCATGGTGGCACACACCTATAATCTAAGCACTCAGAAGACTGAGGCAGGAACACTGACACAGGTTCAAGGTCTGCTACATAGTGAGTTCAAGGCAAGCCAAAACTACACAGTGAGATCCTATCTCAAAACAAACAAACAAAACAGAATCATTAATGAATGCTAATTCTAATGGAGAATATTTCACAAGGAACAAGCTATTTACTTGTAGTTTCAAAGTGCCTCCTCATAAAGGGAAACACTAGAAAACATGTAACAATAAATTAGCTAAGGTGGATAAAATCTAAACTGAATAATGAAAATCAATATCCTCAAAGTGCCACACACAGACATCATATGTCTCCATTTATGATGCTCCAAAAATACTACTAGTTACACTTTCTTTTTTTTTCTTTTGATACCCAGGATCCTTGTACTTGCCAGGCAGGAACTTACACCACTGAGCTAAAATCCCCCCACCCCTCAGTATCAGTTACATAATTTGCTCATCAGTTCTACAACCTGAATCTAATCATGAAAAACCAAACACAGTTGAATACTTTATACAAATATTCTGTATTTCTTTGCCAATATTACAGACACAAAGTGTCCAGACTATTCAACACTAAAGGAAACTTTAAAAATTTCAATTAACATGGGCAGCTATTTCAAAGATAACAAGAATGTATTATGGTAGCCATTTTTTATTTCATATTATCTTATTTTGAAGTCTTACACTGCTTTCATTATTTTGTTTTGATTGGTTTTACTCTGTTCTGTTTTCTTGATTTTCTTCTGTGTGGTCTTATGGGCAGATATTTTGAAGATAATAAGAGGCATTATGGTAACTACTGTTGATTTCCTATTATCTTGTATTGAAATCCTGTATCATTTTCACTGTTGTCTTCAATGGCTTTATTGTTTTATTTTGCTTGGTTTTACTGTCTTTAAAATAAAAATTAAATGCCAATTAAGTCAGGTTAGTGGTAATCTCACTTACTTGGAAGCCTGAAGTAGACAGAACTCAAGTGCTAGTCAGCTAGACAACACAGGGAGACACTGTCTCAAAATAAAATGAAGAAGGGCTGGGAGTGACGGAGATAATACCATGCTCACAGGCCATACAGTCCAGCCACAGCACAAAAGAAAGGGGAGAGAAGGGAAGGAAGATGGAGAAAGGGAAAGGAAAGAAGAAATACAAGTAAATGCAGTGACTCTATATTGGGGGTAAAAATATGCTAAAATGGGACACTACTAGAGTATTCCATCTCACTGGAAAAACTGATGCAGGTATCCTATGCTCTGAGTTATTAATTTAAAGACAATAATATGCAATGTATTAACCATTGTTATCCTCTAGTTATGTTTTAAAATTTCTCTTGAAATTAGAAAACTGAAAAATATTTTAAAAATACAAGAGACTGAAATATGAATTATAGTGAATATTGTAGCAACTCCAAATTTATTAAACTGGTAGCTGAACTGTATTTATTTATTGTGTCTTTTTTGAAACAGGGTCTTACTATGCAATTCAGGCTGGCCTTGAGCTCACTTTGTAGTCCAGGCTGGTCTTGAACTTACAATAACCTCAGCCTCAGCCTCCCAAGTGCTGGGGTTACAGATGTGCACCACCGGGGCTGGGGATTTAGCTCAGTGGCATAAGCGCCTGCCTTGCAAGCAGGCAGTCGTGAGTTCAATCCCTGGTACCGATTAAAAAAAAAAAAAAAAAAAAAAGTTCTACAGATGTGCACCACCATGGCCAACCTGAACTGTATTTATAAAAAAAAAAAAAATCCTTGCCAGGCACTACAGTTACTTTGGAGATAAGAGCAAAAGGATCATAAATTTGAGGCCAGTCTAGATTTCATGGTGAATATATTAAAACACCTCAAAGTAAAAATATAAAAAGGCTGAAGATGCAGCTCAGTGGTGAAGCCTCCCTGAGTTCCCTTCACCAGGACTGCAAAAAACAGAATGAAGTGAAGGAACATCTTTAGTCCTAAAAATTCAAACTTAAGTATTAAGGGGAATAAAAGGCAAAATGTATTAACTTATTCCCAAATAATTCAGAATAATGTATGTACATGTGTCAGATAAGTACATATAGACAAAAATAAATACACAAAGTTAAAATATGTCAAATGTGGCATAATTTTTTAAATTTACTAAAGGGTATATGGGAGTTCTTTATTCTTCCAGTTTTGCAACAATCAAAAAATAAATATGGGCAACAATACAAAACGTTATATAGAAAGGTAGCTCTTACTAAATTCTAAAATATAAACAGAAAAACCACCAAAAAATACAACATTCATGAGTCAAGGGGCTCAGTGGGCTAAGCACCTGCCCGGCAAGGGCAAGTCTTGTGTTTGATCCCCAGTACAAAAAAAAAAAAAAAAGATTCCCATGGTAACATTTTGTGACATATCACAAAAGCAAACACTGAAGTATCTAACTTGTCTAAGAACGAGAAAACCTCAAACAGCCAGGCAATACATAGTACTTGCAAAGGGCCAATTTGAGAACAGCTGAACTTACAGCATTTCTGCCATATAAGAGAAAGCTAACTGTACTGAAGGCAGAAAGATTTACAGAGCCAAGAAGAAAATCTGAAGAGTAGAATCAAAATTGAGCAACACATACATACAGAAAAAAAAAGGTTGGCACGGTGGTACATGCCTATAATCCTTGCACTCAAGGCTGAGGCAGGAGGACCTCAAGGGATAAATACAAAAATAGGGAAAAAAAGAAAATGAACAGCCAGAAATTTCAGAAACCAAGTCTGCCTACTGTAAGTACAAGAAAATTCATAAAAATGGACAATAAAAGATAGAAGTCTAATCTTACAGAGTTAATAGAGTAAGGAGTAGCCGAACAGGATGCTTGCTTATGATCCCAGCCACTCAAGAGGGTTGAGGCAAGAAGATCACTGTGAGTTCATGTCCAGGCTATGATACATAGTGAGTTCAAAGTCAGCCTGATCAGTAAAGTGATATCCTGTCTCAAAAAAAGAGAGAGCAGATTAATGGATTTACAAGACACTCAGCACCAAGGAAAAGAAGTCATTTATCAAGAAATCAACCAAATGACATGTGACAGAATACTATTTACTGAAGTTTTTCTAATTCTAACTTGAAGTTATAAAACTTACAAAGTAATTAGAAAAAATATACTCATATCTGAACTAAAAATCTGAACTAGGAACAATACAAAATTGAAATTTTAATAATGTTCCAAGAAAAATACAAGATGAAAGCAGAAAAATTTTGTTATTTTTAGATGGCAATTTGCTTGCTACATTGCCCAGCCTAGTCTCAAACTCCTGGGCTCAAGGAATTATTCCTCCTGAACTGAGTGATGACAGCTCTAAATCCAGCGAGTGGGGAAAATTTTTAAGGATGAAATTAACGTAAGGAAAAATAACATACTAGGTATAGCAGCACTTGCCTATTAATTCCAGCACTTGGGGAAGCTGAAGCAGGAGGGTCACAATTTCAAGCCTAGCCCTATCTCAAAATTTTTTAAAAAAATTTTTTTTGAGGGTTGAGAATAAAAACTCTCGGTTTAACCTTCAGTATAGTGAAAAGAGAAAGACAAACAGGCAGAAAAGACAGACAGACAGACAGAGAGAGAGAGTTATCAGAGAAAAGAAACCAAAGAGTCAAAAGCTGAAGACAGGCAAAAGATAATTCAACTTCAAACAGTGAATAACTAAAATTTCTGAGGAAAAAAAATAACACATACTTAAAAAATTAAACTCAAGAAAAAACCTGAAAATAAATGTTTAGATATGTGAAAGAAAACATGTAACACTTCAGAATATAAACTGATAATAACCTACATTAAGACCTATTTTACAGAAATGGACTCTACAAAGGAAGCATCCATCAGGCAAGCAGGCAAAAATAGCCAAAAACACACAGTAAAGAAACCATATCATTAAAAACCTTTCAAGGGCAGTGTCTCATGCAAAAAGAAAATACGCACATGAGCCTGAAATTCATAGTCAACAAAACAATTGACAGTCACTAAAACAAAACTATACATTCAAGTACAAAGGGTATAATAGTAAAATATGCTCTTAAGGACATTAATTGAACCCAGAAATGGCAGTGCACAGCAGTAATCCCAGCCACTCAGGATGCTGAGGCAGGAGCAACACGAGCCCAGCCTGAGCAAATTAGCTAGAGTCTGAAAATAAAAATATTTTTAAAGGACTGAGGATATAGCTCATTCCAGAGTGCTTTTCTAACTAAAAACAATGGTTGTATCATGTTGAGAATCATAGACAACAAGGTTCCCACATACAAAAAAATGAAGCAGCAAATTGTGTAAGTAACGCTGTGAGGCTTTACTTTACATGTGGCGGCTTACACCTACAGTT